TAAATATGGGACCCCTGCAAAACTGCTGACTGACCGCGGGACTCATTTCCGTAATCAATTGCTAATGTCCGTCACGGATATTTGTGGCGTGAAGCAGTTAAAAACAACTGCCTACCACCCAGAAGGAAATGGCTTATGTGAGCGCCAAATGGCACCCATAGCAGAGGCGCTGTCAATGTTTGTCGACAGCAAGCAACGTGACTGGGATGTTTACGTGCCGGCCGTGGTTTTTGCTCACAATTGCGCTAAGCAGTGCACCACCCAGGCCAGCCCGTTTTACTTACTGTTCGGAAGAGAGGCCACGTTGCCTCTTGATATCATTTTCAAGACCAACCTGCAGCAAGGTTACGCTGACTATCCTGCGTACACTACAGAGTTTATTCAAACTCTAGAGGCAGCCCATGAAACTGCTCGTTTACGGATACGAGAGCAGCAAAATAGAGATGCTGCTAGGTTTAACGAGCACCGTACACAAACCGTATTTGAGGAGGGCAGTTTAGTTCGGGTACAGCAGTTTGCAAGAAAGAAAGGTCTAGCCGACAAGCTGTCTTTTAAATTTAAGCAGCCCTATCGTGTGCTTAAACGTTGTTCCAATAACGTATACGAATTAATACCTTTATTTGGTAAAAACCCAAAGCCGGACAAGTACAACGTTGACCGAATGCAAAAATACGTCCCACGTATTTCCGGTTTTGTGGATACAGCAGCAAATTTGGCGGGTGATTCCCAACAAACTTCCGCTCAAGATCCACCGTCCAAATTGCAATCAGTTCACCCCATGCCCAAAAAGGGAACACATTGTCGAAAAAAGCGGGTCAACTACCGACCGCTAACTCACAGTCTAAAGCTAGCGCCGTCTGTGTCGAAACGTGGACGGCTGATCAGGCGTCCAACTCGATACGTAAACGAGCAGTAAGCGCCGCCTTCCGGCACTGAAAAAGCAGTTTTCTATTGGCTGCTAGTTGATCTAGTTCACACGCGCCAGGTCAGGAAGACAAAGAGCAGTCACGCCGCACTGCTGATCAGTTTAATCAAATGAGCTGTCAGCATTCACTTAACGAGCTCATTTTCAGACTGAACAAGTGTCTTATTTTTTTTAAAGTTTCTTGTCACGAAGTTTTCTTAATATGAATTACGATAATCAGTTTCCTTGCGGTGCCTGTCGCGCTGATTACGCTCGATCGTATGTAGAGGGAACTCCTTTCGAAATCCCCTCTTGCCCACATGTTGCAGTCCGCAGTTTTGGGGAGATTCCTTTTGGCTGCTTTACTGAGGAAGACTATCAGTTAGTCCCCGCGCGTACGCGGGTGTTATTCACTGCAGCCTGTTCGGGATTAAAGGCTGCTTATCAGGAATTACGCGAGTCGCCACGTCATCAAGCATGCCTTTCGGAGGCCATGAAAGGGGCGCTGAATGAAGCTCACCGAGTCTTCTTTGAAAACTTTACGGTGACCCTCTACGATCCGGACCGGAACCGAGCGGCGTATTCCAACTCACCGCTGCAGGCGACCGTTCATACGGCAGCCACAGCTCCGTTCAGTAGCCAAGGCCTTTCGGGGATCTTTCCCGGCTGCTCGAGTGCGACACTGCCGGCACCAGTGTTCAATGGAAGTCCTTCCATTACATCCGTAGTTGGCCCACCAGTGACTTATGCAGCCACTTCGAATAACGCCAGCTTGCATGGCCCTTTGGGGACCTTTACCAGCGGCTCCAGCGGAAATCCTTCCGCTATGCACATGGCTGGCACAGCAGCGGCTCACGTGGCAGCTGCGTATCATGCCAACGCGCAAGGCCTCTCGGGGACCTTCACTTATGGCTTAAGTGGAAATCCTTCCACTGTGTCTATAGCTGGCACAGCAACAGCTAATGCAGCAGCTGCTTATCGTGCCAGCGGGCAAGGCCTCTCGGGGACCTTTAATAATACCGGTTTGCCGATTTCAGCGCCGGCTGGAATCATGCCTAGCAGATTTTCATCTGCTCCGCCTCTTGACGGCGCCCTTGGCACGTTGAACAGTGGTGTCCGCACTGCTACCAGTTCGGTGGTGAATTCTCACGCACCTGGCATGTCTGTTCCACAGTCCAGCGTTGCACCAACAACGCTTCGAGGTAAAACAGCTCGAGAGCTGTTGGATACCCGTTACACGAAGTACAGCGGCCCGATTAGCAGCAAGACCACTCGCAATCAAATCAATAAATGGTGGGCCGCATGGGAAAATCAGGAAGTGGAAGGATACGGTTGTCTGGTTAAGAGATTTCCCCTCTTGATGCGGGAGTCCCCGAACGTTGCGCAAATGGTGTACGAATGCACTATTCCTTTTGGTTACACCGGACCATCAGCAGCCGATGTCGCACGTCGCCGTCCCGATATCGTACCTCCCTCACACTGGATTCCTGGCAAAAAATCCACAGAGCCACCACCGCCTTTCGAAAACGACCCTCAACAGGGAGACACCAGTGCGGTTACTACGCCAGTTTCTGCTGAGGCCGAAAGCTCCGAAGAGAAAGAGGGAGGCACTGAAACACAGCCAAGCGCACCTACTGAAGCGGCCGCCGGCCTGTCAGACGGTATGGACGGCGTCATCGAAGGAGAGACGATGGATGGTCCCCACGTCCAGGGAAATAAAGTGGTGGCTGAGTCGATGGTGACTGACGACGTGACGGACGATTTGACCGACGATTTGACCGACGACGTGACCGACGGCGTGACCGACGACGGGACCGACGGCGTGACCGACGACGTGACCGACGACGTGGCCGACGATCTGAACGATGAGGTGACGCCGGATGCCTCCGTGGATCAACGTTCTCAGTAGACACGGTTAGCCGGCTACTTGTTCATATTTTTCTAGCGGTTATCTCTTGAGTACCACTGTATGTCTGGGCTAGTGATACTTTCTTTAGTTTGCTCTTTCTTTATATTCACGGGCTGTGGGCAGCCCTTTCCCCACCGAGGGAGGATGTGTCATGCGGTGTATCGGATGGCAGTTACGTTAGAATTGGATAGAAGGGATGCGTGCACGACGACTAGAGAATCATTCTTGTTTTTGCTTTTCTGCCATTTTTATATATTTTTTAGCTTTTCTTCTGATGCGGAGCAGTAAATCTGCTGGGAGACGTAACAAAAGTGAATTTGTCGTGTCCCGTTCTTTTCCGCAGTAGGGAAAACCTAGAAAATCACGGGGGTATCGAATTGCCCTTGTGACACTACTTGTTTGTTATTTTAGTCATTACCTTAACTGTTAATGACGTTCAAATGTTTAATTACTTATTTCTGTAATCTTTCTCATCCAGTCATCTGCACTGCAGTATACGGTGCAGGTGACACGATGCCGGGTGTCAGAGTGACCAATACGATATGAATAATCACCACAATTATCAATCCTGCCGACCTCACTGAAGGACCGAATATAAGCTGATAATCTCAATGTGGTATAGCTAAATTTGGACTGTATGTGTTTGCGGAGTTTGGAATTAAGTTGTCGTCGGAAATGCAATGACAGAATATGAGCTGATAATATCTGGTATAGCTAAATCTACGAATTTACGCGAAGCGAGAAACTGGCGATAACATGATTCCAAACTCCGCAGACTGCTAATCATAATGCGAGAAGTGATGATGCCCAAAGTAACGCAATCAACGGACTTACTTCTTCATGCGCGAAACGCATCCGTGTAGGAAACCAAACACAACCCAAACTAACCGCGAACGTGGTAGAATGCACCAGCAGTACGAGTACATGGAGAAGTACGTATTAAACGCTAATGGGCTGCTGTAATCGGTCACCGGCTTGTGCATTGCAGTGCGGCGGGCAACGGCGGCCGTCCGGGAAGCGGACGAGAACCTCCAGGATAACTCCATCTTCCGACCCGGCTCAGAGCACCCCGCGACCGCCTTGTTGTTACCGAAAGTAGTCACGGTCGCGCTGGGAGGCATGGTGGAGTTGCGTCGCACAGTGCAGACACCCCAATGGGCGCGGCGGATCCTCTAGCTATCGTCCATCCCAACACCATAATCCACATCTTCCCTTGCCGGTGCGCAACCAAGTTTCTCCAGCGCGATGTTTCTCCAGACTGCATCTGCCTCACGGATCAGAGTGTACCGGGAGGGGTCAACAGTCGATTGTTACCAGCGTACAAATAACCCGCTTAGCACTAGTTTTCATTGCCTCACCCTATCGTTAAATAACGCTGTAAAAGATTTCATTGTTCTTGTGGGTCCTAATGCTTAGTCAAGCATGGAGAATATAAGAAATGTACGGCAATGCTGCTAGGAAATTCGTTTGGTTCATTTGGACGTTTCATTAGTGAAGAGTTGTTGTTGTATTGCGAGTACAGAGTAGTGTTGGACTGTTGGTTAAATACAAACTTCCATTAATTTTCACGTTACGACGGCAAGAATAATCGCGCATTTACTGTACAGTACAATTTAACGGGATCACGAGAACATTCATTTTTCTGATGGTCCTCTATAGAAACATCCGTCGGGTTGTACAGCAGCCGGTTTGACTGCTGTTCTAGTGGGTTGGTTAATCCACCTTACCACGATCTGTCGGCTGTTAGTGTGGGAAAGGCTGGCACGGTTGGCAGCGATGCTGACCGGAAGCTGACTACCGTTTACAGAGTGACACCGATGGCCGATGCACGATCATCCCATGGCGGTTAAGCAACACAACACGAGGTCATCGCAAGTGTTTATTAGCAAGTACAACGTGGCAAGGTTCAGCGAGCAAGCTGAGGAGCAAGAACGCATAAGCGTGGGGCAGGAAGCGCGGAGCAAGATTGGGAGCAAGCTGCAGCAAGACTAATTTCAAGAGGTTTCTGACCGCGGGATGCGATCGGTAAAAGTAGGAAAATAAGGATTCTGATCTTCATAACACAACAATCAATAAACAGTAGAGAAAAGCAATTAACACTCCTATCGCTACAATATTAATGTAATCTGCAGGCTACTCGGTAATTTTAAAGCAGTTGTGTCTGCTTGTAGCCCTCAGAGTTATGAATAGGCTTGACCTTTTGTGACCAATACTTGACCCATTTATTATCGATGATTTCCTGCTTATCGCTGTGCACTCATAACCGCTTAGCAGACCCGGCGTGACAAATTCACGCCTAAGCGCCCATTAAAAAACGTACAAATGCGAAAAACAACGGAAATCAGGAGAACTGCAAGTCATAGTTTTTTCTGTGCGACGACGGCCCAGCGTCGGGGCGACACGCGCGGATCAAACAGATCCACCACGCCCACATCCCCGATGTCGTCCCGTTCATCCAGCGCGCAGGCCCGGTCCAGCAGGATGATCTGCTCGATCAGCGGCGCCAGCAGGATCCGTGTCAGACACACCAGACGCAACTGCAGCTCCACGGGGGCGTATTCCCTGTACACCGCTTCCAGCTCCTCTTCGTCCATCTGTAACGCGCAAACCATAGAGAATTAACAATCCATTATTCTACAATTTATTGGTAGAAATTAAAATGAAAAATCCCAACGGCACGAAAAAAGGAAATCGGAATAGGGTTAATTTGTAAATAAATAGCAGATTAAAATTACAGAAGATTCCCCACCAAATAATCCCACGATTATTATGAAAATAAAATAAACATAATTTGCAAATAAATACAAATCCCCAATTAAATTAGGAAAACAGAGATTAGGAAAATAAATTCAGAATTAATTAGCACATCAACAATACAAACACAGGGACATCCCGCAAAATTAATTAAAAAATAAATCAAAAAGTACCAATGATCGGCAAGATTATTTAGCAACGAAAGGTCACTTTAAGTAGCGAAGCAATCAGGAAAATTAAATCAAAATTTCTCTATCCAACGCTCCGCACCGGTACATCATCCAGCGCTTCCCGCGCGTACGCGACGAAATCGCCGTTAACGGTCTTGATGCTGCCGACACTCTGCACGCGCTCCTCCAGACCGTGACGCCGGAGGACGACCTGCAGGAGAGCGCGGAAGAAGAGCGCCCGCACCGACCGCTCGAAGGCCGCGCGGTCGGCCAGCGTCCGCTCCACGCTCTGCGACGCCAGCATGCGCGCGTTCCGCCCCAGACGATACCGGCGCGACTGCAGGAAGGTGGACGAAGGGAATGCCGCAGCGGCGCTACAATTTCCCCCCTCAAACCTACCGACAACGGACGCTTATAAAAAAAGTACAATTCTCGAAAAATTATACAACAATCAAAAATAGGGAACCAATTCAAAAGGAAATAAAAGATATTATTAACACAATTTCCTAAAAATAAACGGCAACCGAAACTGAAGAAATCTGTAAAAGGAAAAAATAACGAAAACATAATCGTAATTAATTTATAAGAAACACAAATAAAATCCATTTCAATAAATATTCCCATCTTTTATTTTAAATAACTATGAATGTTCAGAAATAATCCATTTAAATCAAACTCCACACTTCTTTAAAAATAAACGGATACAAAAATGCTCCGATTAAATACAAACCCTGTCTTTTAATAAAAGAAACATTTACTCGTATATTAAAAAATAAATCCGTTTAAATAAAACCGTCCATTCTTTTTTAAAACACAAATAAATGCAAGAATAACGCCGTTGAAATGAAATTCCATATTTTTTTAAAAAAATAAACCGACACAAAATCATCCGCTTAAATACGTACCCTATCTTTTCATAAAACACAGTAAATACTAAATACTCGTATATTCCAAAATAAATCCGTTCATATAAAACCCTCCGATTTAAAAAAAACTGCAAAAATAATCCGTTTAAATAGAAATCCGCATAGTTTTCTCCCACCTTTCTTCCATTAAATGATAGCAGCACGGCACCAGCACCAATCCCGCGGCCTGATCATTCCGCTGAAACATGCGGATAATGTGGTCGGAGAGGCTGCCGCACGCGTGCAGTCCGCACACCACGAAACGCCCGTCGACGCCGTCCAACTGCGCGTCCTCGCCCACCGCCTGGCAGGCGAACGTCAGCCGCCCTGGACCGCCGCTGTCGCCGGCGACCGGCAGGCGCTTGCGGACGGCGTTCCACTGCTGATTCAACCGGCGCAAGCGTGTCGCGGCGCCCTGGATGTTGCTGGCCGACATCTCCACGCCCAGCACGTCCAGGCCGTCGCGGAGACTCAGCCAGGCGCTTAAATAGCCCTTCCCGCAGCCCACATCCACTACCTATCCATATTTCCATCCCTTTTATTTCAAAAATAATTACAGTAATTTATTTTATATATTTCACCGAATTTTTTTGATTTTATTTGGTAATTTTACTTTATTTATTTTGTACTGAATGAAAAAGTAAATTTAAATCTGACCGCAAAAAAATAAAATTTTATTATAAAATTAAATTTACGACAAACAAAATTTTTAAAAAGGGCCGAAGCATATGCCAAATTTCTCAAAACAAACTGTTTATTTCCGAATTCCAGGCACCTTAATGGTGCGTTACAGAGTCCAGCTATCCAGCACAAAAACTGGGGAAACAGCGTTTTTTAAACGAAAATTAAATCACTAATGACTATTAAAATAAATATAATGGAAAGAAAAAATAAAATATATAAATATAAAATAACCTAAGAAAAATAAAAAATTACACAAAACTTGGTAAATAATCCTACAAAAATTCTGCAATAAATATTGAAATATTATCTCGCAATTTCTAACAATAAATTATGAAGAAACGTCAAAAAAATGCAAAATAAATATCGCAGCGTACCTGCCGCACTTGACACTCCTCCGCAACGTCACGAACAACCGGCGCCATAGCACAAATCTCCTGGAGCTTCTTCTCCGACATCATCATGACACTGGCCAACTTCCCGTCCACGGCGTCCGCCTCCGGGGGCGGTCCACTGACCAATAAACGGCATTTACACGCCGCGTCCCGCGCCAGCTTCTCCCAGGGATTCCGCGCCTCTACGACACCCCCGACCGTCAAAAACCATCGTTCTACCAGGCAATCGGGGTACCTGGGTACTCGGTGATGGGAGATTTCCATAAAACCACGCAAAAGTCCCAGAACTGGGGAAAGAGGAGCGCGGGATCCGCGTCCTGGCTGGAGGGGAACAACGGGAGGACGGTGGTGTGGAAGAGGTTGTCGGTGATGAAGGGGGCCAGGGGGATGTCGGCCAGGGGGTGGAAGGGCTCGAGGAAGGCGATCAACTCCGATAACCTGTTGCATACCATGATCGTCAATGGTGAATGATAAATCCAGTGATGTGCAGTAATTGCTTACGTTCGTAGACGATCACAATCCGACATTCTGGTCGGCGGCGTTCAATGGATTCAGTAAAACGTCCCTCTAAAATTTACGCGCATAGTACAATCCGAAATAATACTTTCGTACAAAAAGCACCGCAAAAAGGCAGAACTGTTGAAGGCTTATTCGATTTTCGTAAAAGAAATTCGAAAATTTTGAAAGCGACGAAGTGAAAATACAATTTGAGACACTCTCACAAACTGCCGTCGGCTGGCGGCTGGCCTGGAGCATGGCAGTATAACGGTGCGACAAACTGCCGTCGGCTGGCGGTTGCCCTGGCGTCTATGTATGGTGGCCGTGTTTTATTCGGTCAGAGTCTGTACATGCTCGACGGGCGCGTCGACGTCGTGATTTGACGTAATCGAATCGGCAACAGCAAACCCCGGAAATATGCTTTCGTTGCGGGTTTGGGATTTTTTGTCGTCTGTGGTTAGTGGAAACGCTTGGGTCAATTTGTACGTCCGTTGCTGGACCGATGCGGTTCGTCGGCCGGAAGATCCGTAACAGTTTCCGGCAAATCTCGATATACTCTGTATAACGGCGGTCTTAGTGATACATCGATTAAGTTTTGTGGCAGTCTGTAATGAAATCCAACGCGGGAACCGCGGCCTCTGTCATGGGAACAGCACCAGCATCGGCTACTTTAGACGAAATGTTCTGTGTGATTAGACCGCCGATTTCCGTAGTCGGCTGAGCCTGTGCATTTAGTGCAAATCTGTCCCTTTTGTAAATAACCTGTGAGTGTATCGAGATCTGGAAGAAAGATCAATTCCCACTTCCGGCATACCTCCTGGATATGGTCCAAGTAAAAGATAACACCATGCACAATGGGAAACCGTTAGTTTTGGACGTTACTGTTGCTGGTACATTTGCCCAAACTTACATAGGCCAGACATCCCGTGTTCCAGGAAGTGCAGCTGAAATAAGAGAGAATCGAAAGCTTGAGAATACGATGGATTGGCGGTTCGCTACGTAGTGCAGCCCTTGGCATTTGAAACTACGGGAACCTTCGGACCGCGCACAAAGAAATTTTTCAAGGAACTGTCAAGAAAAATTTGAGAATGTAATGGTAACCCTCGGTCGGGAGAGCTTTTGCGTCAGAGATTCAGTACTGAGATACAACGCGGAAGTGCAGTGTTAACATTTAATGACATGAGAGACAGCGAGGACTTGTTTTAGAGATTGGCTGATCGGGAATGATTTGTGCCCGATGTTGTTTTTCTTGGCAGCTTTGCTATGGTCTTGTTTATATGATACCTGGTGTGTTGTAAAATATTTACCGTAAACACCCGCAGACACGAAAAAAAAACACCATGCGTTATAATCTGCGGAAGCCGGCACGGATCGCGGTTGCACGGGCAAAGCAAGTAATCGGAGGGGGGACTTGAGAGATGCGTTTAATGCGTCTTTTGGATAAAATCCTTGCTGTTAACTCTAAAATTCTCGATGCCAGTTCTGTACCTGCCTTTAAATTTCTACTCAAATCTGTGGATGTGTCTTGGTTTTTACTTGCATTTAAATTATTTTTTGTTGGACCCGACTTGAATGCCTAAGATCACCGAACGTCACTAACGATTTTGGATGTTTTTTCAACGGTTAAAATTTCATCGTTTTAATAAAGGCACATCCACGCAGACGTTCAGTTGACGCGTGTACATACTGATTACTGGCTGATGCCGAATGTAGAATAATTATTTATTATTGTCACTGTTGTTTTCCAAACAATTTACTTTTTCGCACAAAAGTATTCATTCGCCATCAGCGCTGTGATGTCGTGCATGATCAACAACGTCAAGCGGCATAAAACGAGTTCGCTCAACTTTGGATAAAATAAGTAAGTACTGTATCTTAGTAGAATGTATAGAATTATTATAAAAAAATCATAGTAAAATGCTTTAATAATAAAGTAATGTTTTCATCAGTAAACAGTGCGTAGAAAAAGAGAGCCTACAACGTTAATAAAGCACGACGAGCTGCAAGAATGAACATTATAACCGGCACACTAGCTGGCCAATGTATATTTAATTAATGTAACGGAAATGAAGTTAAGCCGGTTAGATCCAGATGTCGGAGGTGCAGTCGCCGCCCGGATAGCGCACCTCGTGTCCGCGGATGGCGCCGTCCGGCTCACTGGCCAGATCCACATAAAAGTCCGGATCCACCGTCATGCCCTGCGGCGTGCAGTTCAGCAGGACGATGCCGCTGCCCTTCCTGCACAAAGGTCACACAGCGCTATACGCATCTCTACGCGGTAAATTCGCGGCTTGATCGTATGCGCGCAATATATAAGCTATACCGGCATTGCCGTAATGATTAAAGTATGATTAATAATGCAACCTTAAATAGAAATTATTAAGCAATAAATATTTTATTGTCGATTGCCGCGACGTACTTGACCATTTGCGGGTAGAACTGCTTGTCCCACGGCGTCAGCAGCGACGAGGTCACGTACAGACGGCGGCCGTCGCGCGACATCTGCAGCATATTAGGCCCCGCCCTAAACACATCAATTAATCATTAATTATTATAATAATGCCCCATGCATCGCTGCACCATACCAAAAAGCACAACAAATCGCAAAGGTCATCATTATATATACTGGCATTAATATTGTACGTTTGACAAATTTTACTACAGTTGGCGACTGACCAGATGGGATGACCTTTAACAACTAGCCGCGCCGGCTGCGCATCCAGTTCCTCATCTTTCGTGACCTTTATGCCGGTATCGCTGCAGATTAGGCCGCCGAAAAAGACCTAAACGAGCGGCCCATCAATCATCTATATGGAGCTGATTTGAATTGATGCTGAATCGGTGTAACAATTTTTAGGCATTTTTATATAGCGACAGAGCTGGATATCGTACCGAGGAGACAAGTTTGGGATGGTGGGTGTCGCTGATGTCGTACTGCCGCACATCGCCGTGCAGCCAGTTGGCAAAGTACAAGAATTTATCGTCCAGGGAGATGAGAATGTCCGTGATTAACCCCGGCATCACCGGCAGTGACCAGTTCTCCACGTGTTTAGCCGGAACTTTGATGACCGGTTCCGTTGCCCATTCTCCATCCTGTCGTTAAATAAAATGCATCTTCTTAGTTTTAATTTCAGTTATAATGCCGTTAAATCGGCCAAATAATAAACAATAAAATTGCTAATAAAAAAAATTGTATACAGATACGTAACAAAATAGTAAATATTTAAAAAAATAATATGAATTTAAAATTACTGAAAGTAAACGGTACCTTTTTGAAGAAGCGATAGACGACGGACTGCAGCGCCGCCCCCACGAAGCCCTCGCAGGCGGCCGGGTCGTGGAGGAAGCGGACTTCCAGCGGTATGGCGTTGATGTCGTCGGCGTTGCCCAGGCGGATGGACTTGATCAGTGTCTGCTGGTGCCAGTCGAAAAAATTCAGCGAGTGTCCCAGAAGATCTCTAGCCGGCTTGGCGTCCTCGATATTGAAGCCCTTCATAAAGCTGCTCGGGTGCCCGAATTCACTCGAAATCTGCATAAAAAAACCCCAAATAATTACAATCGTTAATGTGCAATTCAAAAGTTATAAGATAAGTTTCTATACAATCAGCAATATTTAATCGAAAAATGCAGAACCGGTGGTTACTTACCAATTTAACACAACAGTAAATAATTTTCATTAAATGATATAACGGAAACTACTACTATGTGGTAATTACGAATAACAATATAAAATTTATTTGGGATTAAAATACAGACCGGCATAATTTTTTTTGAAAATCGAGATTTAACGATTTATTAATAACTCATTTAACACACCGTACGAGACATTTATGCGTTTCCTTATTATATAATTCTTGAGCATCATACGACCACAAACAACTAACAAAAACAGTGTTTCAAATAATTCTTATAAAATAATGAAAATAAATAGAATTATATCGCGTTGTGTAATATAACGAACCCGATGTACAGTAATTCTATTTTATTTATTTTTTAAAAATTTTTTAAAATAAAAAAATTTAATTGAATACAAATTTTGTACAATTAATTTCTTGATTAATTTTTATTTTGCAGACTGACCATAATGTTATGGCGCGGTTGATACCAGTAATCGTAACCCATAATCTTCGTATCATCGTGTCCCTTATTCCACAATCCCTGGGGCTCAAAGGTCAGCCCGTCCAGCAGGAGGAAGGCGCCACGGGCCTTGTCCTGCGTGTCGCCCATATAGGAGATCATGACCTCGCCGGAAGGCAGACAGTGCACCGTGTGCGGGTAGGCGATGTTGAAGCGCTCGCGGATGGCGGCGCCCTCGATGACCTTATGCATAGCCGGCGCGCGCGGATCGATAACGTCGACAATGTGCAGGTTGCCGCTGGCCAGGCCCGGCACGATCAGGAAGCGCCGTTTGATGGCCGGGTGCCGGCAGCTCACGCAGCTGTTCCACCCGAAGTGGTGTAGTTCGTCGCGCGGATCCGACGAATATAAACGATGGATAACCTGCCGTAAAAACTGCCAATGAAAACTTAAAAAAATTAAATTTCACACAATTAAAATATACACAATTTTTAAAAAATTTACAAAGCGTTAAAAATAGTTTTGAAATTAAGCGTTCGCCGTTAACGCAAATAAAGTTGCTATTAATAATTTATTCCGTGATTAGGTGTTTTATGATATACGGTACCGGCATCATGCAAAGAGATTCACAATGCCACGAGACGACTACGTCTTGTTTATTAATACGTTATGAGTATTCTTCATATTGTTTTGTATTAATTAATACAAAAAATTATTTTGTATTAATAATTTACAAATTTTTTTGCCATCAAACCGAAATAAATTACTATTTAATAATTTATTTAATGGCTATTTTATATACGCATAAAATAAACGGTTGCACTTATGTATTTCGTAATAATTTTTTAAACAGCGGTACATTTTACTGAAAAATCTAATCTGCAATTATATACTAGTAGTAATTATGGTATCTGCTAGATACAGCAATTTATTTTTTACGTGAATGTTTTCAAAAATTGTTAAAAATTTTTGATAATTTTCGGGCTGTACCTTGCCGTAATCCTTGGACTCAGGATCGGCATCCACCGTGGCCAAATATCCCGCTTTCGTCGCCTGATTCTCCTCCGGTTGCAGACAGAGCACATAGATGACCTTTTCGCGCGGCAGCGACATGGATTCCCGCGGCGACAGCACCTGGCTGCGGTCGCCGAAACACTCGCACGCCGACATAATCAACGCTTAATTGATGCTGTACGTAAAGGTCACGTTTGCCGGTACCCGCACAATTAATTCCCTAACGAACTGAATGCCGGCATTTTGACGCGCGATGTTTATTTATCTATGCATTCCAATGTCGGATATGAATCAAAAGACAAGCGTAACCGATATGAATCAAATGCAGTAAAAATGTCCTGATGCGATCGTGTCGATGCGAGGAAATTTGTCCTGGAGTTTTTATATCGGCTGACGATTAAAGCGGTACGGCACCACGCGATCGACGAGACGAACCCTCGATTCATGCCGGAAAGGGTGGGATCTTCCGGCTTTCATTCTTGATACGAATCATTTAAAAAAGATAAGAAATATGCCTTATTAATTAGACACAAAATAAAATTTAAGAGTTGTGGAAAGACAGTTCGAATATTATTAAAAAATTAAACACCTATATAAAAAAAATGGAAAAACAAAATAATAAAACATTTAAAAAAATAGAAATAGTCGAAAGATGAATTAAAATTTTACTAAATTAAAAAAAAAGTGAAAAAATAAAACAGTGATAAATTAGTAGTAATATTACAGATATTCATAATATGTAGTTTAAAGTAATAGTAATAATAATAATGGCTTCGTTAAAAAATTAGCATGAAATTTAAATCGTTAGTAAGCGCAATGAGTCAGCGTGGAATTTATCGCAACAATTTTTCCGTCTCGTGTAATTTTAATTTCGTTAGTATCTGTAATTTGGTCTGTTACAACAACCACACATTCCAACACCGTCCACCGCAAGAAAAAAAAACTTTCATTTTTCCACTGACAAGACAATCAACATTTATTCAATTATACCGCCATCCGGTGGGCGGTGGTGGAATAATAAAACAGTAGAAAAGACAGGAAAGAATACTGCACGCACACGTCGATGGTAAATGCAGGATGCGGCCCGCGGGCGGCTGGCCGGGCGCCGTTGCCGTTGAGGGCCAGCGGCGTGGGGCGGGGCGTGGGGCGGTGGCACAGCGGCGGGTAGTTGGCCGGGCGGGTCAGCGGCCAGCCGAAGGCTTCCGCCGGCTCGCGGCACTTGCTGTCCTCCTCGTGCGACAGCCGCAGCGGCCAGTCGGCCTGCGTCAGCCATTTCAGCTGGCAGTCGCAGCGTAGCGGATTGTCTGCAATAAAAAACTGCAATTACTTAATTTATTTAATTTACTTGAATCTATATGATAGAAAATAATTTGTAATGAAAAATAATAAAGGCACTTATTAATAAAAATTATATAACACACTAGATAAAACATAATTATCAATAAATAAAATTTATATGTTTAAAGGACGCAATTGCATTAATAAAGTTTTTTTTTCACAAACCGGCTTCTTCACACGACGAATTCGCAAAATCAGCCATTATTTGTTTCAAAATTATTTTATAACTAAATTGTTTTATGTAGTAGCATTTCTCCGTTTTTTTTAAATATAAAATAATAAATATGATAATTTTTTACTTGCAGTACCTTATTTTCAATTATTCTTATTTTCTATATACATAGATTTAATATTAGAAATGGTTATTATAATATTAAAATATTAGAATTATGATATTAGAATTATAATATTAGAAATAGTTATTTTATTTGAGGTGCTTCATTTAACCGATATTCTGCACATACTAAATTCAAGTGAATATTCCCAACAATGCCGGTCGCTGTCATTTATACAATCACCCCACTGACCTATTGGCCATTCATCTGCGCTGTCTGTTATACGACCGGCAAAGAATGCCGGGATTTTGCGGCTAATTGCCGGAGCGCTTTATCTGTTTTGCCGGCACGGAATCAATGTCCGGCTTGTTCATTTGACCGGTTTAATTCTGACAAACAGGATTACCGCCGATAAAGTGGCTGTTGTCAGCCAGTGGCGGCCGGATTAGCGACTTGTCGTCGGGCAACCGCGGTTGATTTTAATCCCAATATTTAAAGGATTTCATTCTTGCCGAAATAAAATAGCCGCATAATCCGCAAACACTTGAATGTATTGTGTTTTTTCTAGAATGTCTCTATAAAATTAAGGCCTATATTACTACGAAAAAAGATAATATATAAATAAAAAAATATATTTAATAATAATTTTAGGATTTAGGTAATATTTATAAGTTTTATAATTTAGGTGTAGTAAGCAGTAAAAAAATTAGTAATAATAATAATTTAGTTATAAAATATATGAAAAGAAAAAAAAGATAATATAATATATATTAATGAAAAGAAAAAAAAGCAAGAAATGAATAAACAAATTTGAGAAGAATAAAATGAAACAGTGATATAAAATATACATTAATGGATGAAAAATAAAAATGGTAACAAATAAAAATATTTATAAAAAAAACAAGAAAAATATTTTTAATATCAGTTTCTGTACAAAATGTAGTAAGCAGTAGAAAAATAAACTATAATTTATAAAACTAATTATATACGAAACGAAATATCAATGACGATGTATTAAATCGTTACGTTCGCCGTGTCAAATTATTACACTAGAAATTTAGTCTAATAAATATTCCTTGTAATATCGCAGAAATAAATTGGTGATTATTTGCTGCAGCGTTCCACACTGATATATAATAGATTTCTAATTATATTGTGTCGGAAATTGATGAATGGTGTTGCAGTGCACAGCCGTTGGCCTAATCCGGGCAAAAGGGGGGAAGCCGGGTCGGGGGCGCGCGCTGGCTGCATTGCCGGGATTAATCCCGATCCGGCAATCATCCTTCCCCGTTTTTCCCGGCGTTCAATCACCGCACCCAGCGGTCATCCACAGCCCGGGCTTAATTACATCCCGTCAAACTCATTAACGCGCCCCGGCCTGTGCCCGTCGCCGCCCAGGGGCTGCGTCTATCCACGCGCCGCTGCGCATATGGAGCGGACAGTGTGTATATGCCGATAGCAGATGAAGTTGAGACCAGATATGCGTTCCCGTATATATAAATTATGCAGTATAATGAGCAATGTCAATCGCCAGCCGGACACATATTGCTTACACTGTCCGCGCCGGCTTGTTGGCCCGTTAATGGTCAACAGCGGGACCAGTGCCGGCAGCCAGGGAGCACACATGTACGGCTGCAGCGGGAGGGAGGGAGATAGATCGGCGCGATGGTGTTTTAATTATCCCGATGGACGGATGAGGCGCGTATATATACGATGTGTCGATTATTAACGAGCCTTTACAACCGCGGATTTATCAGTTTTCCACGCAGCCATACACAAACATGGCAATTTACTCCGACATCCCCGGGAAGTTGATTGCATTTGACAGCCGGGAAATTATCAGAAAACATATACAAATTATTTCAGCGTAATTTATATTCTAATACTCATACGTGCATTTTCAAAGCTCCAGCTGTTATGACAGTGGCGTTAATTAGCGAAATAATTAGTTTTCGAACTGCACTTTTGGAAATAATTTTAACAGAGGTTATTAAATTTTGATACAAATTCCTTAGTTTATTTTCGCCTTATATTTATTTATTTTTCCTAATTTTATTTATTTAATTTTTTGATTTATTTTTTATAGCCCCGAAAATTAGCAACTTTATTTATTGAATTTTTTTCCTCATATAAACACTGATGCGTAATATATTTTGTTATTTATGCGTATTAACATTTTATTCAATTTTTGTTGTATTTTATAAAAATAATTTTTAATTGTTCAAGCCGGCTGAAACGCTTGCTGAAAGTAGCCGGCATCGGTGACCTTTAAAGCGCTTACCGTGTATATCGAGGATTTTGAGGCTGGACTTGACCGGCTTGAAAGTGGCCTCGTGGAGGGCGGAGAGGTTGTTGCGGGCGAGGTAGAGCCATTCCAGCCGGTGCAGGCCGTGCAGCGCTTTGACGGAGACGTTGCTGATCTGGTTCTCCTGCAGGTACAGGAACTCCAGCTGGTGCGCCTTGGCGAAGGCGTGGTCCGGCAGCTCCGTCAACGAGTTGTTGCGCATATTCAGCTGCGCCAGATTCTCCGCTGTCCACAACGCTTCCACCGGGATCCGCGAGATATTATTGCTCGACACTGCAGTTATGATAAATGTAAATAACGGGTAAAACGAAAACCAGCAAGGACAGCAAAACCTTCTATACGAAATATTTTTTGAATTTTTTTCCGGGAAAAATCGGAAAATGGAAATTAAAATTCGGAAAAATGTAAAATAATAATTACAAAATTCGAAAGAAAAATAGAATACAGGTAAAAAATATATGGAATTTCTGGAATAAATGTACCGTCCAAAAGTTGCAGTTTGCTGGTGAGCGCCGGCGTGAAGGCATCTCCGGCGACATCCTCCAGACAGTTATGATTCATCAACAGCACCTCCAGATTATACAACTGCGCCACCGGGCCCGGCACCCGCCGGAACACATTATGCCCCAAATCTAGCCGCGTCAGTGACCCGGTGACCCCGTGGAAAAACTCCTCCGGCAGCGTTTCCAGTTGATTATGCTGCAACTGCAACTCCTCCAGCCGCCCCAGGGTGGCCAGCAACCGCGCCGGTAACGTCCGGATACGGTTGTGACCCAGCGTGATCTTTGTTAAATTATCCGATCCGTTGAAGGCGAACAGATGAACCTAGTAAATAATACAATAACAAACATAAAAATTTAAAAATCAGCCAACAGTAACCGAGCGCGAAGAGCGAGGCGCTACTTTTAACTGATCGTCAAGAGCATAAAATATGTCTGAAGCCACGAAGAGCGTCATGTAACACTTTTCCAATTCCACAAATATTGCCAAATAAAATAGTCAATAATAACAATAAAAAAAAGAAATATTAGTAATGATATTAAAAATTACTAGAAATGTTTTATAATAATTAGAAAAATTTTCAAATTATTTTTTAGTTTAGTTTAATAATTTATTAATGATAATAAAATCATCTCGGACCTGGTCGATATCGTTGTGGTCCAGGGTCAAGGTGTGGAGTTGGCCGAGGCCGGCGAAGCCGCTAACGTGCAGGCCGGTGAGGAGGTTGTGGGCCAGGTGGAGGACGCGCAGGGCGTGCAGCCGGCGGAGGGCCTCGGTGGGGACGGCGGTGAGCAGGTTGCCGGAGAGGTCCAGACTGTGCAGGTGGCTCTCCAGGTTGAAGAAGGCCATGTCGTCGATCATCTGCACGTTGCAGCGCGTGATGAACAGATGCTGGATGTGCAGGTGCTCGAAGCGCAGCCGGGGGATCTGCACCATTTGGTTGCCGCGCAGGCGCATGTACCTGTACAGCCCACCGGTAAAATTTGTATACAGCCATGATCCTATTAAGTAAATTTTGGATTATTGCATATTTTTTCCTCATTTTTTTTTAATAAGAATTTTTACTCAAATCTTTAGAAAATGTTTCAATAATAAAAGTGTTTTCATTTCTGAAAATAATCAGTAATCGAAATTGTGTTCATAATAACAATTAATTTCCAACGGGAATTTCTGGAGTAACCTGCGGAACAAGTTGCAGTTAAAATAAAGGTAAGTTCGTTCCAATGAATTATGAAACAAATAGGATTAACAATAATTACAAAAATAATTATCATTATACAGAATTTTTTCCGATTTTTTTCCAAAAAATTGCTTACACATTTTATTAAACGTTAAAAATTAAAAGTATTGTTTCAAGGAAATTATTACTAGCAATAACATCTGCGTCTTTATACATATGTACACAATCGTGGTGCATAATATTTATTTTTCGTTAAAACAAGGTTATGACGAGCGCTGATACATGTGCAGCGGGAGGAATTTCCCATGCATACAGATCGTGTATTCCGCGGGAGTGACAGTCCAGGCAGTGCAAATGTAGGCTAATACACGCGGATGCCTGTCAGGGATGTTGGCTGCTTGTTCCTACTGTCTCCCTCTATCCTGTCCTGCTCATCTTACTGCGCATGTACACACGCACTGCCATATTGCTTTACACATGTCCGGCACTGGCTGCGCGCCCAACATGTTCCCCAATCAATAATTCATCATCCCGCGCCCCTTCCCAGCCTGGTACACCCGGTAATTCGTCTTTTGTTGACCCCGAAACAACCACCAGCACAACGTCTAAGAAATCTAAGAAACCTAAGAAATCTACGAAATTCACAAGTACCCACTTGCGCCGGTTGTGCTGACGTCAGCCACGATTACGCGGCGGGTTAAGCGGCGGGCAATCGGCGGTTTGTTTAAACAAACAGCCGGCAATTAATTCTCATCAGTGGCCGCTTAGTGCAGCGTGGAGTGGTGCTTGCGATGGGGCGCAGTTTGCTGTCAATGATTTGTTTCTTGAGATGCGCCGTATGTATAATATGTGTGTCTATACAGATGCACGCCGTTCACACAGACCAACGCTCAATTGGTGGTAATTGGGTTTGTGCGATGGCATGGAACATATTAGGAAAAAATAACAACTCCTCCACCTTTAAACTGCACGCCGCGTCTGTATACGCGGCCACTCATGCGTAGCTGCACTGTGTGGCCCAAAGGAAGAATGGAGCAGATGTTTGACTGACACACATTGTATCTTCTCTCTATGCCGCAGCCGGACATTTTGATTTGTTGTTCCGTGCTAAGATGCTGCGTTTTCCGTACACTGTTCTAACGGCTCCCGAACAAGCCGAATGATCCACCGTACAGAGTGATTCAGCCGGTGATATATTTTCCCTGCGTGCGGCGTAATTTCCCAGTTAACGAGCATCTCCTGTCTGATATTGCTCAATTGCTCCACATTCCCATGTAATATTTTTCAAAGAAATTGGGGGACGTTGACAGTAACACGAAAAATTGTTTTAATTCTATTAGAAATATACATCGCAAAGCATTGGCTAAACGAATGCCTAGCGCGTAGTTTTCCCATAAATTACAGACCGTGGGAAAGTACTGTGCATAATGTTAAAACATCGCTAAGTGTAAATGTGTAGAATGAATAATTAATGTGCAAAGAAATGGCTAAAAAAATGCGCAACGAGGCTTTTTTCCCATAATTCAGATATTGTGGGAACGATTTTCATTCAGTGCAAATATAAAACTAAACGAACTAATCATAAAAAAGTAGATGTTTCTTTTTAACTTATATTGGTCAACCACCTTGCTTTTCTAGTAAAATCTTGTGAATACCTGTTCCGCACTCTTTACTAATTTTATTTAAATTTTTGAACCGTGGACTGACTGGCTAATTTCTTATTTTTCGGGTCTGCATTAAGAATATTTAGTTGGCGTGATATTTCTTCAGCAACTCTTTGAAAAAATTTTGTAATGAGAGCGTGTACGTACAGAGCGTAAGATAGGTGACTTACTTGATAGGGGTTTCCTTGGGGATCTTATGCAGCAGGACACCGATCTGGTCGACATCGGCGTTCTCGCAGACCACCTCCAGTCCCTCGGCAGCATCGTCCAGCAGACGGCGACACGTGCAGGGCGTGTTGAGCAGTTGCCGCGGACAGGTCAACTGGCGCCGGTTCTGGCACTTGCCCGGCTGCAGCTGCGTGGACAGTACCAGCAGCACGCACAGCGTGACAAAGGTCAACTGCACCTGCAGCGCCCACACCGGCTGCATCCACATGGCTCACACGCACACTATGCACATCCAATCGATGCTGATTAACCGGGATAATTATTTTCCGAAGAAGAGATCACTTGAAGTAGTAAAAAAGGGCAACGTTGCAAGTAGCGTTTGGTCTCCAGACAGAATTATTATTATTATTATTATTATTATTACTATTATTATTATTGGCGTTGATTGCCGGAAGATATAGTGAACACGAAGAGAGAATGCAGTTAGATTGATTGTCTGTGGAAACCGCAGCGCGTCAAAGATTAATTATCACGGCGCATTCAGGCGTGATAATATTGTATTAGGATTCCGCGTGGCCGCGGCTGAATCGCCGCAATGACGCATCCGTCGTCGGCGCAATGCTAAACCAACACGGGAGACCGCGGCACGGACAAATTAATTATCCACAATGTCATCTGGCCCGACGCGTAATGATCTGGCAATCATATTAGCCAGGGCCGTGCGAATTATGTGGCAGCGCCGCATATATATGTGTATCGATCCAAGTAGCCTCCGAGCCGGCGTTGTTGTTAGATCATGGATTACATGCCCTATCAATCCTCATCCGCGGATTCACCGTCAAGATGATGCTGGAGAAAAAAAACACAAATACACCATCCACTCATCGCGCGGAGCTGACAAACTTCCCCAAACGATGGATAAGGACGACGCGCGACGCGGAAGCGGGACAGCTGGCAAGTGGGGGAAGCTAAGCGGGAATCAGTGCGCGACGCGATGAGGATGAGCAGGAGGATGAGTGTGTGATTGTCTGTCCAGTGCTCTGAATGTCAAAGTGAAGAAATGCAACCAAGCGGGCGGTGTACACTGTACAGCAGCGGTCAGTGGCCAGCGTGCGGGATAGCGTGTTATCAGACTGATAGGAATAATCGTATATATGCGAGCAGTGCCGGGTTTAATTGATAGGTTGCAGCTTGGGCAGCGATTAGTGGCGATGCCGTCTATCCAGATGAGAAATGGCCGATTTCGCAGCTGGCCATGGATGACTTAACGGCGCTTATCCACAAGCTAGGGGACGGGGAGCAGGGCAAAGCGGATGTACGCCTAACTGGGATGCGAGTTAGATAGATCGGGATCGGATGTGAGCCTGGGAAATGGCTGGCTGCCAGCGCGAGAGAGCAAATATAAACCCGATGCCCAGTGCATCAGTGCCTTGATGGTTAGAGCCACCCGGATGTGGATGCCGGTGGAATGACGTACATGCGCTGATGGATTGTGAACTGTACGCACGTACATACGTACAACTGCACTTCCTGGTTTAATCATACAAGGTGCTGCTTTAGCTGCAATATCCGGGTTTAAACTGCGCGCAGCTGTTTAAAGCCGATTGCGTGTGCACACGTACGTACGCCATAATTAGAAAAAGTATTAACAAACAGCAAGAATGGCGCAGCTGCGCTGTACTCTGCCGGTGCAAGTATGATCGCAATATCCGGGTTTTAATAAGCGGCGTATAGCCGCTTAAACTTTAAAGCCGATTGCGCGTGCAGTGTGTACTCGTACGGCTGTAGAATGACACCGGCCGGTGCAGACGTACGAGTGCGCGTCTGTACTTTGTATTATACTCGGGTATTTGTTGCTTGTGCGTACGATTACGCTAGGCATCCAACTGATGAATGGGAAGTTATTTTAACGGTGTATAATCAGATTGGCCCAATACAGGAGCGGAATTAAAAAGCGCCGTTTTCACATGGGCTAATTTCTCTCGTCAAACGCCGTTAACATTTCAAACATCCCTGTTGTCAGAAAACGGCAGTGTTTGCATACTGTAAAGAAAACACTGCAGCCGGTTCCGTTGCACCAAGTGAATGCCGGTGGAAATGAAAAACGATGCAGCACAGCTGGACGGCGCGCTGCCGCGTTACACAACGAGTGTTCCCGCTGCGAATTAAATTCCCTCCACTTTTTCCATCCCCACGAGCAGCGCCAGTTCGACATGTCGCAGCTGCTGCAACACGAAACTGATGGATGGCATGATATTCGCTGATTTACCGGCATCGGTGACCTTTTGGTTTTTTGCGCATTGGTTTATGTTATTCTTATTTTTTTCTCATGTTTTCTTGTGTTTTCTTATGTATTCATAATTCAGTTTGACCGGTGTTCGCGGAATTACCGGCATCGGTGACCTTTCGGTTTCTTCGCATTGGCTTATGTTATTATTAGGTTTTTTTCATATGGCTTGTTATGTTTTCTTTTGAATTCATAATTCTTGAACGATGCTCGTTTATCTACCGGTATCTGTGACCTTTCGGCTTTTTTGCATCGGCTTATGTTATTCCTATGTTTTTTCACGTTTTCTTATGCTTTCGTAAGTTTTTTGTTGTCTTATGAATTTCTTACTTCTGTACACACGATGCTCGAAATGTGTGACCTTTCGGTTTTTTTTGCATTTTTTGCACCCGCGGGCGGGGGGACGCGGAACCGGCGTCGTTTTCGCGCAAGAAAAGTGAGCAGCTGGATCGGAAATGATGCCGGTTTCGTGATTAAACTCATCAGCGGGCGCAACTCATTTAATTTCGTCCCTTTAATTCCCTTTTTCCCGGTTGCATCATCCCGAACTTGTCGTCTGGCGTGATGCGTCTTTTGACGCGCCTATATACAGGCGCTCTTCCTCATCATCCCGGCCAAACCACTCTCATCAACGTTAATGACACTTTTGTACTCGATTAACTGGCGCGGGATGTACACGGTATTATAGGCAATGCGCCGGCGTTTCTACTGTAAATGCAGCTAGCGCGGGATGGAAAGGAAGGGCACTTGCTGCGCCGGAACAAACATCGATTGTTGCACTGTTTGCCCAGCACGTTAATATTGATTATGCGTCCTCGTCCATCTCCGCAATGATATTCAACTATGCTGCAGTCTGTGTGTAACGCCTAACGCGCTGGCTCATCACTTGCGCCATGTCAGCAATAATTTGTATTTGCATATTTTAAATTATTCATTCCACTGAGTAGCGTTATTTCGATGTGACAAGAAAAATAAAAAAACAACAGGAAAACCGTTCAATAAAAATCATGCAAACGCGGCAACACTTAATTAATATTAATCAATCTAAAAGCGAAATATACTTAGTAATTTAATTCTGGTCCTTCTTGCCTACTGCTAGATTTTTTACGCAAAATAAAATCGTTTAATAATACGAGTAAATTAAACCTGGCATCAAGATTGAAGAACGATCATAAAATAAAACAAGGACTTAATAATTAAATCAATTTTGATAATATATTAATCTAAAAATTAATATAATCTAATTTTGATAATATAAAAATTTTTAAATATTTTTATATATAATATCTAATATTAATTTCTTTATATTTAGCAGTAGCTATATAATATGTACTTATAGTGTAAATATTATTATTTAATGCAATCCGTTTTCAAATATTTAAAAAATAATATTTCAATTTTATTTCGCGCCTTTTAATACGAAAATTTTAAAATTGATTTTTACGGAATATATAGACGACAGGAAAACGGGGGCCGGATTAAAATGCAGTCCCACTCCGGCATGTAAAACGGATTACGGGCACTAAACACCATAAATGCACTCGAGAATGCAGCAGCAATCAGCGAACAATAAAGGTCAACTGTGTTATGTTCCCGCGCTGCAGCAGCTGCTACATGTATATATGTCCTGTTTGTATGTTGATGTTTAAGCGAATTATCCCGGTTAAAAGGGGGACCTTCGTGGGACAGGGCATTCGACGCCGGAATGATCCGATTAAGCGGGCAACGCAACCAGCGGAAATTGATTACAGACTGCATACGCGGATATCCACGATAAGACGCGTATATACGCATCAAGGACCGATTGGACTCGATAACGAGGAGGCTGCATCTTCATCCCGGATATCGCTGCCAATGCCGGTATCGATCGGCGCATATATATGTGATGTATATGTTGACCAGGGGACACTTGATTTGTGTAGTGTGTATGCGCATCAATTACCCGATCGGTTGCTCGTCAAGCACCTGTCGGGCTGACTTCCGATGGGATCCGCGCACCTGTTGGACGGTGGAGTGCACTCAACATATATATACGCCAATGGCCCGATTTGTGTGCTGATCGATGCTGATTGGATTGGGCGGATTGCGCACGGGAAACGGGATCACTTCCGGTCATTGCGGGATGGGGCTGTATTGTCTGCACCCCCCTTGTCCGTACACTGACCTCCATTAAAGAAAATAAGGAGAACATGTTATGCATTTTCAGAATTTTGTATACAGTAAATGTAGAAAATGTAAAATAGTTTGCAAATATCTTCAGGATTTTGTATAATCTATTCATTGACAATTGTTTTTGTGGGATTTGGCACATTAATGTTCTTGGTGGAATGATTGAGTTCGTTATATTTTTCAAAGTAAAACTTACCGTTACGTTGGTTGCCCATCAGAAGCCGTAGTCCTATTCATCGCCTCGACGCACAAATTACAATACCAATTAGCCACCCCAAAAGAATCCCTAATAAAATTTTCTTTGCGTATATAAATTAAATTTTTAATTTTCAGAATTGGGATTATCATAAAATGATTAAGTCTAATTACATACACTAAGTTGTGTGTGGGTCGACTTTGAACTTTTATGCATGAAATCTTTTAAACTAATTTGACATAATTTTCCTGGTTTTATCCAGGTTTGTGGACCTTTAGTGTATGAAGATTTTATTGGATTCGTTTATCATCTCAGCAGAGGTCTGAATAACGTGTCAGTAGAATGATGATTTTTATAAAAAGAAATAGTTTTTAAAGTAATTATGGTACTGTATATGAACATCACTAACTGCAGCACATAAGCACACTTTTGGGTGTTCAAGGAATCAAGGGAGTCTGCCACTTCACTACAATGGCCAGCACTAAAAACTACAAGTAAACGCTACTAAACATGGAATGGCCGACTATAACTCCGAGTAATTCGTCATGCTACCGTGCCACTTCAGTAACGTTTTAAACAAACAAACAAACATTAAGTTTTTTATTAACAAATAATCAGCATTAACTGCTAGGAGAAACATTGATCATTTTCCCAAATAAAAATTAATTCTTTAAATTTTGTGCGCTGTTTTTTGTTCACATATAGCACAATTATCCTTGGCGTAGAAACGGGTGCTGTACGTTTGAGAAAAGTGTATTTAATCGTATTAAGAAAAATTCCATGATCAAAATCCGCGGAAAAAAATCCTGGATTTAAATTCAGCAATAAAATCCAGCGAAGGCATTAAACAGACAAGTGGCACGCTACATGTGATTGAATTTGGAGAGGGACCGGCGGGAATAGCGGCGGGATAAAGTGCGCGATATGGATGCATAACTCTTGTATCGGATGGCTATTACGCGACGGTTGGCGGGTGTTAAGTGCGCGTGTACTGTCGCGGCTATATATAAACTCGAAGATATCCATAGCGGATAATGATATTATATATACGCGCGTGTATATATGCCGGTCAGTGGATTAAGGTCAGTCACTCGACCCCCGATAAAAGCCGCGTTTATTCCCGGAGCAGCGGGGAAGGGGCCCGGCCATAAACAGCCTCCCCACGTGCGGATACGGCGCGGGAATAAAATCCCATCATCAGTCAAGTGATCGCGCCGACCCTGATTGATTTATTGTAGCCCCGCTGCAGTATACCGTACTGATACTCCCGATTATTCCCGCTGCTCTCCGGCCAATTGGGGCTAATATCCCGTGTTGGGCGGTGGTATCCGCTGCTTCCGCGCCCGACCAAACCGATACTGTAGGCACTACTGAATTTTCTAAATTTAATTTTATTAAACTTAATAAATTTTATTTTGTACAAAAATATATATCGAGATAATTCTAATAAACAAGTACGAATTTTTTATAGTAATTTGTACTTTATCGCCTAGTGCCTAGTCCTACTGCATTAGTTTAATGAAATTTTATTATTTCAAAAAAATATATATATGTTAAAATTTACGGGTACATAATTTTTATACCAATAATAGCATAATTTCTGATACCAGTTTTTATTAGTAATTTTTATACCAATTTGTACTGTATCGCCTAGTGGATTATGCGAGCTTAAATAATTATTTTTTTAAATAAAAAATATATTATAAAATAAAGGTATAAATTTTTAAAATAAACTTTCTCCTTTTTATTTATTTTTGCAATTTAATTTTGTTTGCTTATATCTGATGTTGTTGAATAATGTTCTTCATTGTACAGTATATTTTTCTTATATGTTCACATTTTTTAAATTGATTTAAAATGAATGTGATGTAAAATTAGGATTTGCGTAATTTAATTTCCTGTTAAATTGTCGACCTTTGTACATGTACATAGCATAACGATATACATGCTCAGCCAAGTTACAGTTTTGTGAAATAATTATAAAATAATTGTATATTTTATTGCAGTTATCTATAACTTTTATGCAAATCTTAAAACCTGTATCCAGTACCGAGCACTGGTTAAGTGGTAATTAGGATGCTTTAAATACATTATTTTAGGTAGCTTTTCTGAAACTAATATTTAAAAAATCTATCAGTGCTATGAAACAATGTACTTATATTGTATGTTAAACCTACCTAATGCGGTTGCCTACAGATAATAATCAAGTTGATATTTCCATGGATAAAACATGGATCACTTGAAACGATTTTGAGATTTGAACAGACCTAAACTGTTTCGGATGAACAGTTATTGCATACGTATGGTGCTCTTACAGTGTCTGAAATAAGTGTTTTGTTATATTGTACGAGTGAACTTTTCGTTGATGCTCATTAAATATGATTTCGTGAAAATCATTGTCGCATCAGGGGCTGCAGCGTATCAGATTAAAGGTGCTTTCACTCTGCAAAGTCATTGAATCGGCTGATGTATCTTTTAAGAGCATTGAATGACCAACACCTCAGATAGTGTGAACAATGACGTCATAAGAATTTTAAGCAAATTTCAAACAGGACTATGCTCGCTAATTTTCCTCTGTCTACCAATTTGATACGGTTATTCGAAACCGAGAATCTAGGATGTCACACAGGCAACTAAAATTAAATAGGAAGTATGACCGTGCGTCTGAACTGAGATATGTACGATTGCACAATTAATTAATTAATAATGCCCAATGAGAATATGTATCTAATTGAATGGCAGTGACACACAGCAAACCAGCGTGAAAATGAAGAAAACACATGCAACCCAACACGAGATTAATTAACCACCATTTCTCGACGATCCAACCTTGACAGGGAAATCAGCTGACGCACACACGAAATCAACCAGACAACAAACGAACGAACGAACAACAAACGCAGGCAAAAATGCAGGAGAGGAATGAGCAGCAGAAACAGGCACCGGAAAACGCGCGGAGGTAGATTAAAATTGCGAGGAAAATCCACGGCGGAATGGACGAATCAGAGGTCGTCGCCGTCCACGGGCGGCAGCTCGTCCGTCAGCTCGCCGAACCCGTTGACGAACCACTTGGCCTCGCGGCGCACCCGCTCCCGCACCACCACACCGCCGAACCCGATAAACGCATCCTGAACAACCAAAGAATATCGCATTTACAAATAAATCAATTAAATTCCCGTCAAATCAATTTAAAAATAAATAAAATCCAGTTAATTAAATTCCAATTTTCCATTCTAATAAGTAATTACATTTAATACAATTAATTTCTAATAAGTTAAATTCTAATTTTCCCGATGAACGCGTCCTGAACCACCAAAATGAATCGCATTTAAAAATAAATCAACTAAATTCCCGTCAAATCAATTTAAAAATTAAATGCCAATAAATTAAATTCCTATGGATTAATTTCAATTACAATCAATTAAATTCTCAGCGAAATAATAAACAGATTCTATAAGTCTAATAGATCCTATAAATAAGACTCTATAAGCAAAAATAATAAATAGATTCCTGAAGACTGAATTTATTTCAATAATCAACCTGAACTACTGCAATATTCAATCTCAATTAAATAAATGCAAATACCAATTAAACTGCATACAATGTGATATAATCTGCAAAAATTTAAATACTTAACTAATCAATCGCACTATTAATTTTCTCTGGAAATATGCATACGGATTTTCTACATATAATTGTTTTCTGCATAAATTACTCAAGAGTTATAGGAATCATTGCAATCTGCGGCAACGCCATGTTAATGCGGGATATTTTTCGTCTTTAGTGTCGACTATCGTAGTAGAGTGGCAGCAAATGCAACCTTCTCGCGTATAATGCCCAACCGCATAAAATTAGCAAATCCTGCAGTCTACTTTTTCTTGCGCTTCTGTATAAGAATCCATAGTATCTATCCTAATGGCACGGTATTCAGGCCTTGACGGAAATGATAAATAATAAAAGCAAACCTTCGTACAAAATGATTTCTTAAAAAAATCCAGTAAAACCTGTGTAAAATCACGCTATTAATTCAAAATGATAAATCCGCTTAGGAAAAGTCTACATGCATATTTTCTCTTATTGTATTAATATTATTTTGAACCCACTGGAATTTTCCTACACAGAATAACCAAAAAATCATATAATTATTTCATTTTAATTAATACGAATATTTTAATTAATACGAAAAATAAAAAAATCGTCAGGATTAGAGTGTAAAGGGTTGGAATTCGTATAATTATTTCAAATATAAATCATATAAATATAACAGAAATGTGGGCGTACCGCGGGCGGCGCAGCCTCGAGATCGGTGGAGCCGTCGCCGATCATGACCAGCTGCTGGTGGCCGTTGGTGCGCTTCAAATAGCCGCAGACGCGGCCCTTCCCGCCGTTATCACACGTCATCGCCTGCTCGTCGAAACCGGCATACTCCCCTGCAATATTGTCACCCGTCAATGCTGCCGTAAAGCGACAAAAATTCCTATACACCAGGCAAAACGTTGTAACCGCCTAACCGGAAAATAAAGCCTACCTTAAATTAAAAGCAGGAAAAAAGTTTTTCTAATTTTTTCATAATTTAAAATTTTTTAAAACATTTTCAACATTTGAACAATTAAATTAATTAAATCATCTACATTTTATTTTCTAATTTTCTAAATTTTAACAATTTAAATTCGCTTCTTTTGGAAAATATCAGAAGAAAGTCTGGATAAAAATCGGAAAATAATCATGGCATAACATGTAAAATAATGCCAATAACAGAACAACATTTACAAAAAAGAAAAATATCGGAGAAATAAATGTGATTGTTTAGCCCTGGCCACTACACTACGATAAATAGCGCGTACCGTTATAATACCACATGAGACGGTTGCAGAAGACGTTCTCGGCGGGAATGTCCAGCAGCTGCGCCAGCGGCAGGATGAAGAAGTCGAAACCCCCGCTGACCAGGTACACTTCGCGGCCGCGCGCCCGCAACGCTTCCACCAACTCCCTACACAAAATAACACCGTAAAAACATAAAAAATAATACGAAAATAATATACCGTAATATATGAAAAAATATATAATAAAATCGATCAGCAACCCAATAAAAAACTGGACAAATTCCTGACATAAAAGATGATATAAAATATCAAAGACGAAAAATCCGGGAAAAAAATCTAAGTAGAGATTTAAGTAGAGATTATTCCTCGTCAAAAAAATGCGTTGGAGCCAATAAATATCACTGCATAAATAAAATAAATAAAATTAAAAATTAACTAAAATCCAATTAAAATTAAAAACAATTAATAAACCTAAGAAAATTCTTAGGAAAAATCAAAGAAAAATCCCTGATTGATTTTCCTGCTGCTGTTCTTACTGGATGCCTTCGGTCAATAGGGGCGGATGCGTCTTCATGAAGGTCTCGGTCTGGAGGCGGGTCGGCCGGATGATGTTGAGGCGTTCGCGGAGGCAGGTCTTGAAGGGGAGATTGCCGCCCATGGCCTGCTTGGTCCACTCGCTCACCTCCTTCCCCACGCCGCAGAAGCCGGCGATCTCGTCGATGCCCTCGATCGGCGTGATCGTCGAGTCCACGTCGAAGCACACGGCGTCCGCCGCGCGCCACACCGCCCGCACCGTCTCCGGACTGGCGTCGCACGACGCCGACCGCTTGTGCACCAATCTAACCCAGCAAAGCACGAATTGCAGGCATTTTCTGTCATTTAATTTTTCTTTGAAAGATATTTATTCATTTAAAATGTATTTATTATTTTTTAAAAATATCTTCTTACTTATTTTTCTTGTTACTTTGCGCAGGCAAACAGATGATACCACTATTCGGCACAATTATTTCCCCTGTGCTGACCGTCATATTAACTGACTGTCGTATTAATTTTAATTTTAAAATATTTAATTTACAAAAAGATCCCAATTATTTAATTGATATGTTATATAATACGGTCAAAAATTTATTATTATAACTAACGAAAAAAAATAGAAAATTGTGCTAACTCTCGAAATTGAAGAACTGTCCAAACAGAAAATTAATAATAATTTCATAACTTCCAAATTAATCAACTGTGGCCAAAAATTATTGATATAATTCCTGAATAAATATAAAAAATTATTACGGGGATATTTGTCCATTTCTAAAATTCAAAAACCGTCATTAATTCTATTCTTCCTCAGTTCAATATTTTTTTGGCAAAGCAGCTTATTTTCTGGCTAACCTAAGTCCTAAATCTGCTTGGTATTTTCTAGGCAATTATTCCGAATATTTTATTGCGATTCCAAATATCTTCGTCGTTAAAAACAGGCTGAAAATGGGGCATAAATCCCGTTAAAAATCGGCCAAAAATGCCTATGCCATAAAACTGAGACGGCCTCGATTTGTGTGTCGACTTTCGACAGTTTCGAATAGCAGTGGCCAAACGGCGAGAGTCCATCGCGTGTGCTATTCTGTCGCGGGTCAGTAACTCGGTCGGTATGAGGAGAAAGAACACGCGTCAGCTGCGCCGGGAAAGCAGGTCAGAGGTCGGCCCATGCGCCGGCCTTGCCGCTAACACTAACACTAACTAACAACATTTGCCCCGCGGACCAGCGCGCCAAACAGTTCCGCAAAAAAATGCTACATTCCACATACAAAGGAAATTCGTTCACCGAAGACACACAGTGCTTATGCAACACTGTGCTCGATTTCCTACAATCGCTGAACACATACCGGACCCGTCCGATTGCACTTCCGATCGTTACACTTTCAATCAATTGTCTAGATTTTTTATCGCAATTTTAAATGATAATTACAATTATTAATTAATAAATGCAATTAAATCAGTAAATAATTGGAATTAAATTCCAATTAAACAATTAACTGTCCTAATTATTAATCACAATTTGCAGTGGTAGTTATTATTAACTGGTTAGTAACTTAGTATTAAAGACAAAACCAACAAAAAACTGGAGATAGAACTAACTGTTTCGCCTTGATTTTTCATCGTAATGTTCAGTCAGTTTATAAAATAAAATAAAATAAATTTGTTAAAAAATAAAGGAAAACAAATTATAAAATCACTTGACCAATGAATCATAATTAAAACAAAATTAGTTCATTTATTCGAAAGCGACCAAACGTTGATGAAATGTTGGAATCAGCGGATCGAGAACTGTCCGAATTATTTTTCAAGCATAATTAAATTGCATTAATTACTATTACTCGGAAAATATGAATGACGGCGAAAGTAGAATAACGAGTTTAAAAATCCACCCTGCAGCCAGAAATGATTCAGCTAAATGCCAAAAATGAAACCACTAATTTATCAAAAAATGCACAAACCAGAAAAACTGTAAAATAATCGAGAAAACCGGTAAAAACACATTAAAACGATAATTCGGTTAAATAAATTAACAAACTCGCTGTTTTTGCGTAAACGGCAACAACAGGTTCAAGATAAAATTTTTTCATGGCGAACAATTATGACAAATTACAGGAGACATACCTGGAAGTGCGGACAGTCGGCGGACTCATTGTGGGCATGACGGCAGCAGCAAAGAGGGACGACAGCGGAGCCACTGCACTACGACAGCCACTCCAAACAACAACGCTCCCCGATCGCCACACAACTCCAGAAAAAACGGGAAAATCTTCCAAACAAATTTCCAATCACACTCCTCGACGGAAGATCACATCAGCACTAAACAACGCCGCCAGAAATCCAATTAAAATAAAAACCAGAAGAATTAACCAAATAAATCGATTAATAAATTATTATTCGATGCATACACTGCTTTTCTAATGGATAAAAAATAAATTCTTCTGAAGGAACAAAGTTTAGAGCAGAAAAAGTAGGAAAAAATATTGTCGTCCAGCACGTGCGCCAAAAACGGGGAAATGCGGAAGGACAGCGATGAACAACCGTGGAACAGCTGATACGTACTGCGTCGCTGACGTTGAGACTGGTACGAGGTCGGTCGCGTGCCCACCACGGCCCACGGGGAACTTCCCCTCGCACACACACACAGTACAGGACAACAGGCCGCCCCAGTCCGCAGCGAGGAAAACAGAGGCTTTCCGCGGAATGCAGGCCAACTCAGACTGCCAACGTACTGCACTGTATGACTAGGCTGCTTGACTGTCACGCACCAGAATGATGAACGCTGGCTTCCACCTGCAGGCTCCAACGTGCTCGTACTGCTTGTACTGCTCGTCACTCGCACGAGTACACACTTCCCATCAACCAGCTGAAAACGGTGTACGACTTATTCGACAGAAACGCTGAGAAAAACCACTGTAAACCGTAAACGACTGCAAATATAAAAACGCAACTCGAAAATAAATTTTAACGCTGCACTGAACTGCGCTGCCTTTGTGTCGACACTCGACACTGACAGTCCAGGCGGGTTGTACGTACGTACAGGCATAACCTGTACGACTGCGCAACGTAAAAGTTTACCTAGTTAGTAGTATAGGATGTAGCGCCTGCGCGCCCCATGAAAATTGGCTTGATTTTAACCGCTCGACACTCGACAGCGACAAAATTCCATACTTCCCACGATTTGCTCCTAAAATTATTCTAATCGATACGAAAACGTATCTTGCGCTTTATTTAAATAATTTAGTGGTAATTATATAATCTACGGTCTATTATAATCAAGAACACCTCAACCAGAAGAAAGAATGTAAAAACTTACCAATCCATTCCAAAACTGCCATTACCTGGGCGGTGGCGTGCGCGACTTCTTCGAATATTAATTATTTGCTGATCATAAAAAAATATAAATCACTGAATCGTTAACTAATTAATTAACTGATTAATACGCTTTGTCTTATTCATAATATAATTAATTAATTAAAAATTACAAAAAAGATAATTAATGTTCAGTCTTCTATTATCATCATCAAACGGGAAGGAAATTTGCCGCTGTATCGAATAATAATATTTTTATTTGGAGAATAACTGGATTAATTCCAATCGTCATTCACCGCATCAGCCGAACGCGAGGAATTAATTAGAAGCTTTATCTACACAATTCCCCGCAGACAAACTCATACACAAACAGACACACCAATTCCCCTGAATTTCTCACCATTAAACATAAATAACGCCCATGCTAAAATCGGATTAAAATCGCGAGAAAACCAGAGACAACCGCAACAACAAAAAAACCATTCAAAAAACACCCAGCCCCCCTTTTGAAGAAGAACCCCGCCCCCCGAATTCACCGAGACACCCATTTAAAAATCCCGCAACCTCCCGACATCAGAACCATTCAAAATCCTCATTAGAATTTTCAAAATCCATTCAAAAATCGTCATCCTCTTCAAAATAACAGAAATCCATCCAGAAAATCATTTTCCCAGTCGGAATAATTAAATTCCGCGTCCAGACATAATTTTCCTCATCAGAATAAGAAGAAATCCATTTGAAAATAATCTTCCTCATCCGGAATTAATTTTTTTCCCGCAATTTTCCTCGTCGGAATTTTTCCACAATTTTCCTCGTCGAAATAATCAAAATTCCGGAGAAAAATCATCTTCCGCGCTTCAAACATCCTCCTCCTCATCGGAATTCTCCTCCTTCTCCGCCGGCGAGATAGGCTCATACTCCACCATAGTCGCCACGACCTTACTCGGCCCCGGGGGCGGCGGGGGCGGGGCCAGCGGCGGCGGACTGTCCCCCTCGTCCATCCGCATCCGCCGCTTCCAGTTGGCCGGGGAGTACGGCTGGTACAGCGACACCACGGGCCCCAGCCCCATCCCCAGCCCCATGGGCAGCGGACTGACGGACAGCGGCTGCAGGGGACTGGCCACGCCCATGGGGCGCCCGCCCGGACAGCTCCATGGGGGGCGGCGGGCCGGGGGCGTCCTTGCGGGAGAAGTCGTTGGCGATGATCTGCTCAATGTGCTCGCCCAGGGTGAAGGGCTTGTTGTGTAACGCGGCTAATGCTTCTTCGTCGCGGCGCTGTTGTTGTTTGCGGCTGCTGCTGCCGCTGCTCATGTGCGGGTGCTGGTGGGCGGCGGTGGGCAGGGGGTGCTGTAGGTGGGCGTTGCCGCCTGTGGGAAAACAGTTGTGTGTTCAACCGATATCACTTCGGAATTTTATTCGCATTTTCTTCTAATTTTTCTTAGGTTTTCTGCTGAAAATCAGCAATTTTCTTCCTTTCATTTTTTCACATTTATCCGCCTGTTTTTAAGCTCTTCAACTCATAATCTTAATTTTATTCACCAATGCACTTTTCCTATTTTTTATAATTTTCAGGTGAATCAGCAGTTTTATTCCTAATATTTCTTCAACATTTATCCGCATATTTCTTTACTCCGCGCTCAGTCGATATTAATTCAAATTTTATTATCAATTTTATTTTACTCTTACATTTTGTTCTAATTTTTCGGTTGCATCAGCAATTTATTCCAAGTAATTTTTTAACAGTTTTTTTTCAGTTCTGCGTTCAACCGACATTAATTTGAATTTTATTCTAACTAAAATTTTTCTTACAATACTTAACGTAAAAATGATTTTAATTACGGCAGACACTAAATCTGCTAAATAATCTGTTAATCTATCAAAATTTACTGCCAGAAGAAAAAAAATTAACAGCAAAAAATCCACCGCCACTAACCTGCCACTACGGAGAGGGAATTGGCCGCGTTCTGCTCGGGCCCGGGCGGCTGCTGACCCGGCCGCGTGCCGATCTGCCGCGTGATAATCACGTCAATCAGGCTCCCCGCCGTCAGATTGGGATTGGGCTCGGCGCCGCCGCGGCCGCCCTTGTGGGGCGCCGACTGGCCCTCCTGCCCGCCCTTCATCAGAGCGTGGTGCCCGGCCGCCGGGTAGAACTTCATATCCTGACCGGCGCCCGGCGACGTCTGGTCTCTTCTTGTCTCGTCGATGGTGATCACCTCCGGTTTACCGCGCTTCTCGCTCTCCCGCAACAGGCCGCGGTTGGCCGCCAGCGTCTGCATACGGTCCCGGCTGGCGTTCTCCCGCTCCGACTCCTCACCCGGCAATCCTGCGACACACGATTCTCTTCACGGGACGCACACACAATTTGTAGAAATTTCCATTTATCGAGGAATTTCATTCTTACTTTTCTACTTCGAAATTGTCTCAGACATTTTCATTAGTTCATCTGCACACGACGATTTACCCAAGGACAACAATATTCGCTCTATCTGAAGAATTATGGTAGTGTAGCGGCTCACAAGTCGTTGGTGAAATTATGATACATTGCGCCCGTACAAGTTGTTTAACAGTCAACAATAAAGAATTCTTTCGAATTTTTTATTTCACCTTGCCCTTTACTAGGAGAATTTTAATACTAATAACACAAAGAAAAATAAATTTAATGTGACTGAAAAAAAGCAACTTACGCTGAAACTAAGAATGAAAAAAAGCAGTTAGCACGAGTAGCAATTTTTGCGAAAGTGGTTGTCATTTCAACAGAATCTTTCCCCCAAGATCTCAAAGTGAATAACGATAGAATATCCAAAAGAATTTTTTTTATTACTTATATTTAACAATGTATAATATTACATATAGCTAAATAGCTAAAGTATAATACTTTTTTATTAAACCTTTTTTGATGTAAGTCTTCCTTTGATATGTAAACTATTGTTATAACATAATAATTGGCACGAAAATAATTTTACACCACTGGAAAACATTAAAAAAACAGAACTACTAATTAAAAATTCATAAAATATTTGCAGTGGAAATGGTTGTGCATTTCTACAGAATATTTCCAAAACTGATTTAAATTAAATTCTATTTTCTATAAATATTTGTTTCAGAATTGTAAAATTTGTGAACAATTCATAACTGCATTCTCACGGGGTCGTCCGGTTCCCCACGCGTGATACCCTCTTCACTGGACGCGCACAATAATTACTGTATTCATGCATTTTACTTATCAATCAATCTTACGCATGGTATCAGTGTTAAAAAATTAGTACCGCGCTGGAGTCGTGTTAAACACGACGATTTACACGCTGACGCAACTATTATCCCGACTTGTGTATTGATTAGTAAACTGAGAATTATTGTAGTACAGCGGCCAATGCAAACTCTTTTAACGCTGGTTCACGGCAGTTCAGCTGAATATTCAAAATTGCTCATTTACACTTATTTCAATTTTTCGACATTAATTTATTTAGTGCATTATAGTATTATAATTATAATTTTCCGCATTTATTCAGTGCATTGTATTGAATTACAATTATAATAATGCACTAATAAATGTCGAAAACTTGAAAAGAAACTGAAATGAGCAAATATGAATATTCCACTGATATCATTTTATCATCAGTTTTAAAATAAGTTTTTTTTACAACTAAAATAATTATAATACTACAAGGAAATAAATCAACCAAAATAAGTACAAAATTAATTTCTCGAGTAGCGATTTTAGCGCAAATGTCTGTGCGTTTAAAGAACCTTTTTTTCCCCAAATTCACACTGAATAACTCTCGATAAAACGTCAAAGAACAACATTTTTTTAAAATTTAATGATTTAATTTCACTGCCACCGGGTCGTCTGATGCCGATACTTCGCTGCGGCGGAGCCTGTTGCCGCTAATTAATTATTTTATACAGCAACAAATAAAATAATAACCAGCAATATTAATATTAAAATAATCTGAAAAATAAAAAGCAGTAAATTATTCCGAATAAAAACAGAACTAACAATTCCGAAGAAATACGTCCACAGGAGTAGACATTTCCGCCAAAAATGTTTCGTGCATTTTAAGAATAATTCGCAACAAATAACTCTCAAGAAAACGTACGTAATAAACTCAATAAAACATTTTAGTAAATAATAACAGTTTTGGTAATGCTTAATTGTTTTTTTAACGGGTAATTTTTAACTATTAAGTAGTGTAGCAGCGCTTGCAGCTATCGTTATTTTGGTGGCTACTGCCAATAAAGAATATCATATAATAATTTTAATAAGAATAATATTTTCAGTGCATTCTCACCGGGTCGTCCGGTGCCGAGCGTGATACTCCGCTGCGGCGGCGCCTGTTGCTGCTGCTGTTGCTGCGGCATCCCGCGCTGCTGCTGTCCGCCCTGCGCCATCAGCGCCGGCATCATGGAGGCGGCGCCCAAGCCCACGGGCGGGAAGCCGGCGGCCGCCAGCTGCTCCATGTACTCGGGCGTGACCATGTTATACGGCAGCCCCCCTCCGGGCGGCAGGTAGGCGACGTACGGCGAGTACAGCTGCACGAAGCGGGGATCCGGCTGCGTCACTTGCGGCGCGCTTTGCACGTGCATCGGGTGGGTGTCGTAGGCGGCGGAGGTGTAGGGCGAGGGCTGGCTCGGACCGCGACCTTTGCCTTCTTGTTCGGCGTGCAGCTGCCGGCTGGTGGCGAAATCCGTCAGCAGGTTCTGCCGGGTGCTGTACTGGTACGCCTGCGCCTGTACAAATTTCATATATTTGTAAAACATATCATATAAAAATAAATAAAAAAATTAACAAAAAAATATACACAACAATATATACACAAAATATACACAATTTATGAAAAATAATATTAAAAAGATATATAGCATGCCCAAGAAAGTTTATAACCCGGCACAAAAAAGAGTTTTGTGGTGTAGTGGCTCTTGAACGTCTGTGGTGCAGCAGCGCGGCTTTACACTGTCTCTCCCATGTTCTCACCGTGATGCGGCGTTGCCGCGCTGAACACCGGCAAGAATCGGGCCAACATGGGGCTGCTGTGGAGTCTGCACCGACTGCAGACAGTGTTGACGGTGTCCAGCGCGGCAATGCCGCATCACGGTGAGCACATGGGACCCGACAGTGTACAGCCGGTCTGCTGCACCACACACGCCCAAGAGCCACTACACCACAAAACCCTTTTCTTCATTCACAGTGTGCCCAGCGACTCTGCTGGTCAAAGCACGGCTTCCAAGGCAAAATTTCTTACATTTTCTTATTGCACGCTTTCAAAAAAATTTATTTCCAAATCCCACGGAGTTCCGACAATTTTTATCGATATATTTTATGCATTTTGTCAATATATTTTCCACATATTCCATAACTTTTTTACATTTTGACTACATATTTTTCTACATTTTGTCTGCATGTTTCCCATATTTTTTCATATTTTGCCTAGATATTTGTTTTTCATATTTTCCTACTCTGCTGCTTTTAGTTGATATATTTTCTATATACTCCATATTTGTTTTATAAGTACGAGTCTACATATATTTCCTTATTTAGTCCAGGTATTTTCCATATTTTGTCTAGATATTTTCTATTTTTCTGATTTTTTTTGTCGATCTATTTCTCTAAATCTCCCATATTTTCTCACAGTTGGTCTATATGTTTCGATATAACATTATCTACAATTTTTATACACACACCTGTGACCTCCGCGCGCCCTCCGTCTCCCCGGGGGATTTGGCGCTCTCCCTCCCGGTCCCCCGGGGAATCAACAAATGCGGCGTCATCCGCGTATCGGAATCCACCATCTGCGACGTCCGCGCCAGCACCGCCACCGGCACCTCCCCTCCCTCCACCACCCCTCCCCGCCGCTGCTCCTTATGCACCATCTGCACCTGCGACTCCAGCTGCCTTTTAAAGTCCACCGGATTCGACGGCGGCCCGGGCCGATCCTTGTCCAGATTCTTCTCGATGGCGTGGTGGATCAGATCCCGGACACAGGCCGGGCCGTTGCCCCCTTGGGGCGCTTGGCCAGGCGGTAAGGGAGAGCGGCGACGGTCCATGTGGGCGGGCACGGGCAGCTGCGAGGGGCTGAAGGAGTGCGCGGCGGCGGCGGCGCGCGGCAAGGCGGCCAGGTATTGGTGGGGCGCGGGGGGCGCCAGGAGGGGGCGGGGCGGGGGCTGGGTGTTCTCCGTGTCCTCCTCCGTGTCCACCTCGTCGGCGCTGAGGGTGGCGTTGCTGTCCACGCTGTGCGAGCGGATCAGCGGCGGGTTGCCGGCGTCCGGCCGCACCGGGCTGGCATCTGCAACAACGACAATTTACAGAAAATGACAAAACGACAATTTACAGAAAATGACAAAATAATTACTCTATAAGAAAAAATACGAAAATATTTTTTCACAAAAAAATAGAACTGACGGGATAACCCTAGTAAAAAACAGTAAAAACTTATAAAAAAAACACGAAATAATATCGTCATATACAATACAGATATGATCTTGAGAACAAACAGAAAATGCCAAAGTAACCATAATATTAAAAGTCCATATAAAAGAACTATTAAAAAATACAGAAAATAATAACAAATTAGGACATAGCGGCACAGTAATAACAATGAATAATAATAACAATAAAAAAATACAGCAAAACAGAATTAAAATATACAGACGGTGGCGAAATACAAAAATTAAGAAGTCTGTACAACGAACTTTTACTATCAGTAGTGTCACTAGTGTGTAATTTCATCTAGATTTTGCTGTCTTAAGCGTAGTCCACAACGCGGAATATCGCCACTGTTCTACGAAACCGTACCAAACATATTGCACATACATTTACTGCAAACTGGAAAAAAACCCACTAAAATCGCTAAATAATGCAGTCATTGACCGCTGCACACTCTATGTCGCTAAAGAAATCAAGAAAAAAAACCCCAGAAAACCATAAATACTATAGGAAGCAGCAGAAAGAAAACCCCCAGAGAACCGGCAAGTGGATCACCAGAACTGCCCGGGCAGCAGATTCACAATATGAAAATGTCCAAAAGCTTCACCCGATTTAATTTGAAATAAATTCGTAATTTAATTGGATTGCACATACCGGCCACTTTGTCGATGGGGACGGGTTCGTCCTCGTCGTCGTCGGAGGAGCTGGTGGTCCAGGGGGAGAATTCGTCGTCATGGGGCGCCAGGAGATCGGGCGGCGGGAGGGACAGGAGACCGAGCTCCATGGCGTGTCCGCGGTAGTACTGGATGCAGTCGCGGACGCGCTTGGGCGCCAGCGCCTTCGACACCGCCGTCCAGTTGGTGCCGTGCGTCAGCAGCGCCTTCTTCAGCAGCTCCACCTCCCCGTCGTTCCACTTGCCCAGGCCCAGCCGTCGCTCAATGTAGGCGATGCAGTATTTGCAGCAGGATGTCGCCGTGTCCGGCAATTCTGAACAAAATTCAATTACACAGTATATTAAATTACAGCATATAAAATAAACGGATTAATCTGAGATTACCGGTCCCAGCGAGTTTATAACTAACTGTGCGCAGTAAGGTTTTCAATTATTAACCAATATTACTGATTTGCAGTAAGTATTTTGAAATTTTTAGTATGAATTATTCTGTAATTACTAGTTTCTATCGATTTGAAATTAACAGCTTTAATCAGTTTGTAATTATTAACCTGAATTAATTCGCAAATATCTGTATGAAATGTTCTAGAATTAATAGTCTAAATTTTTCTGTAGTTATTAGCATTAATAATTTGAAATTATTAGTCTGAATTATTTTTTCTATTAACCTACATGAAATGTGCAGGATCTGTCTGAATAATTCTCAAATTAATACTGTGAAATTGTGAATAAACGTGTAATTAAAAGTGTCGAATTCATGGTAAATAACCTCCCGACTTAATTTGCACCGATCTGTAAAAAATTAATTTGTAATTACAATAATTTGGCATTAAATCTGTAGTTAACAGTAAATTATTAACTAGGTAGTGCAATTAAAACAGATTTCCAAAAAACCTGCCGTACCGAGACGGCGTGATGTGTGAGCGAAATTGGGGAACTCGGAGGGTGTCTTGAACAGCCGCTTGATGGCGCGTCGACCGGCTTGGCATTTCCGCGCCGGACACAGAATCGTCAGGGCTACAACGAGGACAAACACATCCATCAGCATACAAATCGCTAAATTATTTCGGAAAAAAACTGACGTACTAATGGCTTGAATATTCTCATCCACGTCCATAATACTGTTGGACAGCAGCGAAGTGTTCAGCGCCATCTTGCTCGGCGTCACCGGCTCCTCCAGCGACTGCAGCCTCTGTACAGTACCAAAAAATAACACGCTGAAATTGACATATATCCGGACTAAAATAAATTAAAATGAATCCGTCAAAAAAGGACAATTTGCCAAGAAAACAAATGGCCCATCACTGCACGGCATGTTCATGTACATATCAAGGGTTTCGTAGTGAAGTGGCACACTGCGGAAGTAATACGCGAATATAGTTTACTACACCACTCCAACAAAAATTTCATAAGGTCCTATGCATTATGCACTTTCAAATTATTTTTCCGCAGTCAGCTGGTCTGCTAGTACAGTTTATTCATAACAATAACATTCCGTAAAGACAATGCATTTTTTTCAACTGACAATATTAACCGCACCTTATTGGGGCCGCGGCGCATCCGGAAGGCCTTCTGCTTCTTGACCATCTGCTTGTAATTCTCTTTGCGCTTGGTGAGGTAGTAATACTGTATACAATCCTGCGTACTCTGTACAAACACATAAAGCTGGATAAACTCCACAGTCCAGACCCTTATTTGATAAAACAAATTTCATTTAATTAACAAAATAATTTCAAAGCGGACTACAGAATTATCACGATAAAAATGGTATAAAATAATATGATTATCAATAATTATGATTAATCGGTCTGCACTCTTAAGTTATTGCAAATCATTAAAATATTGTAATTTACTTGGTTAATAAAAAATGAAATTTATTAAATCATTAATATCGTCAAAAAATATATGGAAAAAAAGACTAGCGCCACCCACCTTCCGCTTCAAGAAGGAGCTGATGTAACCGAAATCCTTGGGGCGCTGCAGGTACTTGTCCTTGAAGATGTCCTTCTCCTCCTGCGTCCAGAAGCAGTTGGACACCGACTCCTTGTAGTCGCGGGCCGGATTCTCCACCAGCCGGTTGCGGTCGTAAAAGTGCCGCGACCGGTCCTTGGCGTCCAGCAGCATCGGCACCAACACCGCGTTGCGGTAGTACTTCTCCATATCCTGCAACATTACAATTTATTCTGAATATTTTTACCATCTTTTTATTAATTTAAATTAATTACTCATTTTTCCACGATTATTCCCAGTAAATTAAATTTTTCTCCCGTTGCAAATCTTCTTCATGATTTGCCAAAACATTATTTTAAAAAAAATGAATTCAATTTCAATTAGTCAAAGTAAAACCGAATTTAATTCAAATTATCCATGCAAATTAATTCAGATTAACTGGAAATAAATTCAAAATTAATCAGGAAACTTGCGTTTTCGTCCAGGTTGGACAGATCGGGCTCCGGATCGCCTTTGGCACGGTTCATCCGCAGATCGCGCAGTTTATCCTCGCGATTCTTGCGGATCTCGGGGAACTGCCGCTCGTAGTATTCCCGCATTTTCGCTTCACGTGTTCTACATCAAGAAATAATGCAGGAGATAATTAATGCGCTGAGCATTTACGCATAAATAATCAACAAAGCATTGACGCATATCGACAGACGCAGCAAGCGAGAGCTACATCCACCGGTATATCGTAGTACTGTGGCAACAGGAGCGCACGGAAGATACATAAAACTGACAACTGCTGCTTCCCACGGCACAGCCAAGAAAAACTTTCAATTTCCTTTTTTTCGCTCCTTATTAATTCAACATAAATTAATCATTAATTTAACAGAAACAGTAATTATCATGCAAACGTTCAGCCCGCAGAGAATCTGCGGATCATGCTTTCTTTAAATTTCAATTTATTTTATTTTCCTGCGAAAAAAAACTGAACATTTATTTGTGCAAAAAATGTACCGTTTTTTCGGATTGCCTTCCGTCTTCTCCAGCCGGCTGAGGTAGGCCTGCGACAGCTGTTTGTAGCGTTCTTTCAAGTAGCGCTCGCGGATCTGCTTGGCCTGCCGGTCCTTCTTCAAGCGGAGAATGATGCCGGCACGCTGCTTCTGGTAGTTGGATGCCAGACTGAAAAATCCAGTAAATATTCAATATTATTAATCTGCAAAGAGGAAAAAATAACAGATGAATTTTTCAGGATACTGACACCACATCGACGAAGCTGGAGGGATGGTGGTTGTGCGTGGACGCCGTGACCACAATGCCGAACCGCTTCCCGGCCAGTCCGTGCTCCGATTCCGCGATGCGCTGCAACATCAACATTTCAAATTTTTTAAGAAATTCCTTTAATAAATAAATCTTAACAAATTATTTCGTACCCCAAATAATTCAGAAATTAGGCACTAGCACATTAATTAAGAAACTATTTTTCCAAAAATAACAAAACTGACAATTTTTTCAACAGTGACGCTAATTTAATTGTCTCATCTCAGACGCCCAGAGAAGACGAAAGCAATAGAAAAAAAAATGGTTAATTTTCTTCAGAACAAAATTCCAGTTTCTCACGACCGAAGAAAATAAACAGAAATTAAGGGAATTGATCGAGAAAATGTTTTTGGTGTGTTCCACAGTCCTGAACATCTGCTTCTAAATTAATGCTTATTTTTTGGTTGAATTAAAGACAAATACAGAACTATCGAAGGACGCGTATGGCGTTTATGAACAGTTCATTAATCACATGACAATTAGTCACTACCACTACAACCCAAGGGCATATGTGGCCACGGTACTACGTTTCCTCAACGATTTACCAGTGTGTTCCAATAATTCAAAAAGGCTAATTAACCTCAACTAATTAACATAAACACCAGTCAAAAACATTAAAAAATAAATCATCACCAAAAACAATTCTGAACAAAAACACAGAGACGATAAAAAAAATGATTAAAAAACAAAATAATGAGAACCGAAAATAAATTAAAATGTATAAAAACTACTACTTGAGTGCGGAAAATAATTGTTGAAAATAAAAAGACCTACGCGATTCTCGGCGATGATGCGACGCAGCATATCCGCTGAGTTCACCTCCGACTCGGGACTGTTGGGACGGGCGGTTTCCGCTTGGGATTTCCTTTGCCGTTCGTAATCCTCCTGAAACACACAAAAACCAATATTCGCATTACTTATCCTGCAACATAACCAAAATCACTATTCTATATTCAACCAATATTTATTCCAGTAATATCCATTCTTTATTTAACCAATATTATTTCCGTAATACTCCTACTCATTTATTTGACCAATAATAACATTTAATTTTATTTTATCTACCCATTACTTATTCCAGTGATATTGATATCTTTTTTATTTAACAAATAATATAGTAATAATATTTCGATTTATTTAATTACTCAGCATTTACTCCAGTAATATTCGTCTAACAAATCAATATTTACTGATAATAATAAGTAAATGATTTAAATAATTCGCTATTTATTCAACAATTCAACAGGGAAAGCCGTTCCTCAATCGCACCTTTTTGGCCTCGGCGGCGGCCAGCTCCGCCTGCCACTGGTCGATATTCTTCTCGCACGTGTGCACCGTACTCTCCAGCGCCCGGATCTCGCTCTCCACCGCCTGGCACTTCTTATCCAGCTCACTGTTCTCATCACTCGGCGGGGAGATGGCCTCCAACCGCGGCGCATACTCCGCCGCGCTACTCCGCGGCGCCGACTCGTGCTTGACCAGCACCGAGCCGGATCCCGGGCGGAGGTAGGGATCGACACTCCCGCGTTGCTGCTGCGGCGGCGGATACCCCGGCTCCTTCTTGAGCGTATACCCGCCGCGGGCGTCGGCGTACACCTCCCGGCGGGGCGGCGACGCCGGGCGGGTGTACTGGTGCCCGCCGGACCCTCCGGACTTGATCATCCCGGGGGAGCGGGACTCGTTGGGGGAGATGGTGCGGAGGTAGCGGTCGCGGGGCTCCCGGTCGCCGGCGGCGGGCGGGGCACGGCGCGGCGGGCTGACGGAGCGGGCGGGCGGCATGAGGAGGGTGGAGGTGTCCGGGTTGAGGTAGGGGGAGCCGGCGCCCGGGTAGAAGTGGGCGGCCTGGTGCGGGTGGAGGAAGCCGAAGGAGGAGGCCTGCTGCAGACGGTGCATCATCTCCGCCTGGGCGGCGGCGGCGTACTGCGGGTAGCCGACCCCCATGGGCAGGGCCATGCCGGCCATCTGCATGGGGAAGGGCACCGGGACGGGCGCGCCGGGGTGCTCGGCGCGGGAGGACTGGGGAGGGGCCGTGTGGCCCCCGTGGGGGCTGCTGGCCGTGCGGTAGTAGGCGGGGTTCATGGCGACAGGCGGGGAAGAGGGACGCTTCAGCGAATCGATAGAAATTGGTCTAGAGATCTACAAAAAATCGCCGCCGTCAAAGCACAGAAAACCGAAAAAAGACGAAACGTAATCAGAATAAATTCAGAGAAAAATCAGCTGCACTTTTTAATCACCTGGAAAAATACTGATTATAAATTACTACGAAATTTATTACGAAATTATGACAAACAATTAAATTGAACTGGATGATGCTGTTTAAATTTAAATTAAAGGACAGTTAAATTGCGAAACAAAATTCAAATTAAAATTCGTGTTATCATCAGTCATGCTGCCTAAAACTATAAGACGTAATTAAGTGCTAGGAAATTTATAACAAAATTATGACAAAAAACTTTAATAATTTTTAAATCGAGGCAAATTTTAAAAAATCACAGAATCAATGTAAATCCCAGCTACCGCCAGTCAAAATAAACAAAAACAACAATAAACTACAAACGATGAAAAATTTAACGACAAAAAACCAGTTCGACTTTTTAATCGTCTGGACAAAAATACGGATTCAAAAAAAAACTCCTGCAATATCGAATAATTCAGCCGGGAGATATGTAATTTCGATTGTTTCTGCGATTTATGCCAGCCATAAAATGTAAAAAATATTTATCGGTCTTTTATTATTTATTTTAATATTTTACTATTTTTATAATTTTATGAGTATCATTATCGTTTTACTCCGGTTTAACTTTTCTAACTTGACAACTGCTCACGCGTTATTCTTGTCGGACTTACATTGGCAAGTATTCCATTATGCAATCTTTCACGGTCTCATCATCCAAAATAATCCAAAACACATTCAATCCACGGATAGTTCAGCTCCTAACAATCCTAACATCACCAAATTCCACCGTCAGTGTGCTGGCAAAATGTCGATAGCATTAGCAGGCTCGTGATTCCAGAATCCAATTCAAAATTTGCTGCAGCGATCTAAATCACCATGCATTTCCCTGGATGGGAAGACCAATCCAATGACAACGCATCTACTCAATCGTATTGCACAACAACATCCACTGACCAAAGAACAACAGTCTCGCGACATTCGAATTCTCGCCAGTCAGCGAATAAATCACAAACAGGGGCTCAGTTTCTCTGCGCGGACCACGCGCGACCAACGCAAACCACTGGAATAAATTAAAAACGATCCACACCAATATTCAGGCTTTGGCTGAAAGACTGAAAGGTCCATAAATAAAACAGGATACAGGAATAAAATAATATTCGGGTTGTAATTCGAAAAAGTAACGCGAGAACACACACACACGGGCTTCTCGAAAAATTGGTTCTTGGACGCGCAGCATGCCAAAATCAAAAATTTCCGTCGCAGCCAGTCTGCCTGCCAGTGGGTTGGGCCGAGCGAGAGAGACCAGAGAGAGAGAGAGAGAGAGAAAGTTGAAAACAACTCGGCGCACGGGCATTTCCGCTGCACATTGCGCCATTCGGACCGCGGTGGCGATTGTGATGGCGTCGGCGCGTCGCCGTGCACGGCTGCATACGGGGCGCGGCTGAGTCACGCTGTCTCGGTCTGTCGTCACGTTCCAGCGTGTTTGATGTGTTGCGCTGCGCCAGCGGCGTAACGAACCTACAGCATGGGGCGGACAATTCCCAAATCAGACTAAGCATGAAACTTTTAATGAAAAATATTTCTCTATCTATTCAGCAAACTATTGCTTTATTTTACGATCGGCATTGTTGAGAATTCTATTTTTTCAACCAGAACAAAATTGCTGATGTTGTAACTGCGTTGCTTTCGAATTACAGAATTATTCCCAATTTTTAATTTTTTTAATGTAACCCCTCAATATCGAAGCTCGGCACGCCACTTCTCCGCCATCACTAATCAGCACATGGCGAAATCAAATTTTGGATTTTCTCATTTTCGTGAGTTTGCTGTTTTGCTTGCAACAAGTTTTGTTGTGATTGTCACAGCTATTAGTCGTGTTAATGAGAATTTTTTCACTATTCTGATAAGTGATAACTTGTGAAGAATCTGCGCAATAGCGGAGAAGAGCGTTTTTAGTATGGATTTCCATGAGAAATCTCCGAGCGGATCGGAGGCATCGGAGAACGGGGATGGACGGGGTTTCTACGTCAAACTGAATGTCGGAGGTAAAACCTATGGTTTAGAATGGGGGATATTTAGTCAGCGTTCCGTTGATAAAGATAGGAAGAAGAAATTGTCGGTGTTGCAGGGACGCTGCACATCACCACCATCCACACACTGGCATCGAAAGATACCATGCTGAAGACCATGTTCACCACTCCCATGGGATTCCGCAAGGATTCCGAAGGTATGAGCTCGAATACACTGCACTAATATAATTCTAAAAAAATGAAGCCTCCGTTTGAATAAATTCGTCATTATTCGTGGTACATACTGTACGTAAATCGCCGTTGCCCTTGGTGTGCTGATGCTAACCAGGATGAAACGTAGAAAAGTGGCTATTGGTATTGTGCTTTCCATTAAAGCGAATTTGGAGCTTAACACAAACCCTGGGAAAATTGATCAGTAATAACCTAATATTTTTCTAATTGGAAACTGCATTTTTTTAATTTGGTAGTACGTGGAAGGTGGAGCCATTAAGCTTAAATTTTAATTAACAAATAAACGAGGGTTTACATAGTTTTTTAAATTTGGTATTACGTGGAACCGTGAAGCGTAAAAATCACTTGACAAATAAATTGAGTGTGTAAATAATCATAGAAATTCATGTGTTGGACAGGTTTTGTGCGGATTGATCGGTGTGGGAAACACTTTGGAACGATTTTAAATTGGCTGCGGGATGGCGACGTCCCGCTGCCCTCCGGCCCGACGGAAATTGAAGAGCTGTATCACGAAGCCAAATATTATTTGTGCGAGGTTAGGATCGGCCGATCGGGCATCCATTTGGATATTTGTGTATCGTTTTGACCGTTTTATTTTTACTATTTGCTGAATCACCTAGTCGTAGGCGTTGGTTCGTTTCGTTTGAATTATTTGTTTTATCCAGTCTTTCATTGATCAAACGTGTATTTAACAGATTGTCCCTTTTTCACTGCTTATCATATAATTTTTGGTTTATTATCATTTTTACTGTATATTGATCGATTTTATATTTGCGATTTTTATTATAGATTTTTTTTTATTTCGTGTTAGTGTGTTAGACGTTTAATGTTGCCGCGCACCCGCTTACCGCACGTTTTCGCGCGCGCGCAACGCTACATTTTCCATCGACGAGGTAGTCGTTGTGCAAACATTTCAACGCAATCATTCATAGTTTCGTACGTTGGTTTGCAGGAGCTTCTTCGCAAATGCGAGTCGGCGCTGCAGTGTCGAACGTCCCCGATGTGTCATGTGCCGCTGATCACGTCGCCGCGCGAAGAAAATCTCCTGATCAGCAACACCAAGAAGCCCGTAATCAAACTGCAGGTCAACCGGCACAACAAATACTCGTACACGGTGTAAGTGTTTGGCGGCGTTAATTTATTAGTTTATTTCTCACCAGTGCTTTTAAAAGCTTGAACGCCTGGTTTTTGAGATATATGTGTATATCCAAAAAATTAATAAAACTGCATGAACCAAAAATTAATTTGCAGTTTTACAACTATCTCGAAATTGTAATTTAACTGTAAAATTAATTACTAGTAAGTTTAAATAGGTGAAAAATATTTTTCGATCGGGTTTGAAATCTGAACATTTATTTCCACAGAATTTATTTAATAAATCTGTCTTTGCGACCTTCGGATGAGAATCTGTTAAAGATTAGTGAATTGTTTGACCAGTTCTAGATAAAAAAAGTTAAAATCGATGGTTAAATGAAAGCGAATTTGCACTGTTAAGTGTATGATAAAACTTTAAACCGAATTGTAAAATTATAATAATAATTATATCTTGATGAACTAATAAATTATTATTCACTCTTAGATCAGATATAAAATATAAAAATTTATTCCTGCAAAATTAATTCAGTAAACCTGTCCTTGCAGGACATCGGACGATAACCTGCTGAAGAGTATCGAGCTCTTCGACAAACTCAGCCTGCGCTTCAACGGACGCATCCTCTTCCTGAAAGACGTGATCAGTAACGCGGAGATCTGCTGCTGGTCCTTCTTCGGGCACGGGAAGAAAGTGGCCGAAGTCTGCTGCACCTCCATCGTCTACGCGTCGGACCGCAAGCACACCAAGGTGGATTTCCCCGAAGCGCGGGTTCTGGAAGAATCCCTGAATATTCTCCTGTACGAGCAGAACGTGGACACGGAACTACTGCAGGCCACGCGCAGCCGGCAGCGCGTCAACTACAACGACGAGGACGACGACCGCTCCTGCTCCGTCAACTCCGCCAACGTGCAGGTGGTGCGGCGGTTGGCGGGGCCCGCCGCCCCGCGGGCGGTCAACAACAACAGCTGATTCCGACATTTCCAGCGGTTTAATTTGTTTATCGATAGCTTCGCTTGTTTTCGGGAAAATATTCGCAAGGCGGGGCGATTTATTTCGCACAAAAGAGGATTTTTATTTGCTCGTTTTTTTTGTTTTTAATGGGTGAAATTTTCTCCTGTGTTGGCTTCTTTTGTTGCTGTTGGGGATTTTGGTGGGTTTGCTTAAATGGATTAATTTTAAGAACCAGTGAAGAAAAAAATTCTGGCTCGCGTAAATTAGGCTTTAGTTTTTTTTATAAATAATGGAATGTCTTATCTGCTCGCAAAAAATCGTATTTAGTTTATTTTCGGTTAATGTTTTAAATTGTAGAGAATGTTTAATTACACATGTGAGCCAGAATGCTGGGAAAAAGATCCGCGCTGTGTAATTACAGAGAAATAACGCACTGGAATTTTAATTACGTTCCTTAAGTTTTTAACAAGAATGAATACAATTTCCTCGGAAAAAATTTAAATTATTTCGATTAAGTTATGCGCGCATCGCCAGTATAATATGTCTAGTTGGCAGGTTGTTTGGAACAAATTTAGCTGGAATAAAATAAACGGGTTGGGAGATATAAAATTTAATGCCCTGTAAGCGGTTTATGGACGGTGATATGAATTTGATTAATATAAATTTTCACTGTGTGGTTAGAAGTTCAGAAATTTAATTATTTAACGAAATAAATAAATAATATGAATTACATATATTCATTTAAAACAAAATAAAATTCATTTTGATAATTCATAGAAATCTAGAAATTAAACTAAATATTCAGTTATTTAATTTATTTTAATTAATTGAAATACCATTATTTATTATCACACAGACCAGCAGAACATTAGTATAAAATATTTAGGCAGATATGTGCACTGACACTCGACACAGGCAGTACTTACGTCACAAAGAAAACAGGACATCATGGACTTTGGTTTGAATATTCGAATTTTGCTGCGTTTAACCGCGAGCTTTTGCTTGTGAATAAAATGTTTATCGGCCGCCGCATTTACGTGTCTACAGTAATGCGCGGCCGTTGTTGCAGCGCGGCTTTAACTCAGAACGGGGCGCGGCTGAGTCACGCTGTCGGATCACGTTCTAGCCAGCGCTACGCTGAAAACGGCAGCCAAAAAGCCGTTTATGAATCACACTGGCGCCGCGCATATCCGCTGCAGCTGTGTGTGCTTTATCGTACAATCATCGTACTACGTCTTTTCTCTCTCTCCCTCTCTGTTCAGTCTCTCTCTCTCTGTCTGTCTCTGTGTTTGCGCGCGCTATGCAACGCTATGCAGCGATGTTATCATAGGCAACTTTGCTTTTCCAATCAGTTTATGCGGAAAACCGCAACCCAAATGCGTGTTTATCTTGCGCCAATCTCCCGTATACACCGTATTTCTCACCCATCCTTGCTCAAACCCTCGCCTCATCAGGGACACCGCGGTGTGTACATGGACGTCTGTGGAACTAGTGTTTATCGGGGCGGTTGAGCGTTTACATCCAACCGTCCATGTTCCCACCATCTGGTCCGTTGTTTCTCCTTGATTTCATCATCCCCCCTCCCGCAGTATGAGCCGCCACGACCCCCCGGGGTCCCCCGACCCGGCGGCGCCCCGCCCCTCGCGGCGACCCCGCCCGGGCGGCGACGACGCCCTGGATATCGCCGCGCGCAAGCGCCGCCTAACGCTGGACCTGCCCCAACTGATCCCCATTCCCAATATGCGCACCCCGGGCCTCTCCCCCGGAGGCTCCGCGCCGCTGTTGAGCTCCCCGGACGTGCGGAAGCTGCAGATCTCCTCGCCGGAGCTGGAGCGCTTGATCATACAGAACTGGATGCAGAAGAGCCCCGGGGCGGCTGGCGGGGCGACGCCGGTCAGTGTGGCGGAGGAGCAGCAGCAGATGTACGCCAAGGGGTTTGTCGACGCGATTAATAGTGTGCAGAGCGGGTTCGTCAATGTGTTGGCCGGGGGCCCGCCCAGCCCCTACACGGCGTACGGGTTCCCCCTGCCGGTGCCGCTCGCCGCGCCCTTCCTCATGCACATCCCGTCCAGCCCGGTGCCGGCGCATTCCCAGTCGGAGAATAATAACAAGGCGCACCATGGACCAAATCAAAGCAGTGAGTGTACTTACTTAAAACTGAAACTACTGCACACTGTAACTGTAAAATAAATTCGAAGAAATATCATAATAAAGTGGAACTCAAATGAATTAATATTTTTTAAAATGATAATTTAAGAATAAATATCCATTAACATGACACAGCATAGCGAAATTGAGTAAATGTAATAAAATTGTTCAGAAGTTAGAATTTATTGCGGTATCATTTATTGTATTTTGACATTCTGCGAACTCATTTAGAATTATCGAAGGAATTAAATCGGAATTATTTTCAGAATAAAATTGTTTCTCGAAAACAAAGTGCTGAAACCGGTAGTAAATTATATACTGTAGTTATAGTTATTTCACGGAATTAAAAGAAAGGAAAATAAAGCTACAACACGCAGGACCAAAATAAACAATTGAATAAATTTTAAAAAAATAAGGATCTCATTGGAACGAAATAGGCTGAAGAAAATCTGATGAGAAGCTGTATTAAAATTTCGCATATATGTAAAGCGAAATAATTCTGGGAAATGGAAGTTTAAGCGAATAAATTTGTTACAGATATCTTGCCAGCCCACTTGACTACCGGCCTGGGCGGTCTGAAGCACGGCAGCAGTCTGCCGGTGCCGCTCCTCCCGCAGATCGTCTTATCGCCCATCTCCCCCACCAGCATCATTCCCCCCACCTCCGCCGCCGGGCCCTTGACCATCCTGGCGCCCGCCGCCTCCCGTGGGCGCCGGCGTCCCACCAAATCCAGCGAGCCCCCGCCGCCGCCGGCGCCCGCCGAGGCGCTGCCCTACTCCCCGTCGGCTTCCCTGTCGCCGTCCGTGTCGGAGGGGCAGCGGGTGCCCAGTCGGCCGGCCAGCTCCAGCTCCCTGCACCACCCGGGGCGGCGGCGCCACGACAGTGAGGACAGCGAGGAGCTGGACATGGAAACCACCGAGGAGCCCATGCAGGTGGACAATATGGACTCGGACGAGGAGCGGATGCATCGTCGGGCCCGCAAACGCGAACGGTCAGTGACAGTTTTAAAATTCTTAATAAATTCACTAGTTTTCAGTTGATTTTCAGTTCTTAATAAATTCACTTAATAAATTCCTTTTTAATTAAATTTTAACAAAGTAATGTAATTTTGAAAGTTATTTATCAGACAGTTGTCTAAATACTGCGTATTTAGTTAAATTAAGTTGATTTAAAATGTAGGTAAAACTTTTTTGTTGCGCTTTTGGCAGGAATCGTCTGGCGGCGGCGCGTTGTCGCCAGCGGAAACTGGAGCGTATCGATGAGCTGAGCGGGCAGGCGAATAAGGTGCGGGACGACAATGAAGCGCTGGAAAAAGAAGCCGATAATCTGCGGCGACAGATCGCCGCCATGAAGAAGCAGGTGGCCCTGCATGTACAGGTACGCAGTGACCTTTCTTCCCGTATTAATCTTAACCAGTATTTGAATAACGATTTTATAAATATATTGTTATGAATCTATGATAATCTGTATTAAGATGTTGTGTATAGCTTCGATGTTTTAAACTTAAGAATCGTAACAGGCACACGTACTCGGTGACCTTTCCTAATGTCTGGAAATTATAGATGAAAATAGGCGTTTTATATATAAATAAATGTTAATACTCGTACAGATTATCAACAGGTTTAGAAAATATTTCGGTAAACCTTTTCATGCAAGATAAATTGTTAACAAATAGAAGACTGAAGAAAATTTTCACCAAAAAAAATTTAAAATATGAATAAAAATATTAAAAATTATGGGCTTGATGGTGGTGGATGTTCGTTGCAGAATGGATGTCATTTTGATATGTCGGAGAGTCTGCGACGGTCGGTGGACAGCCTGCTGGCTGAGTCTGCCCGCGCCGAGAAATAGCATTCCCCCTTGGAAAATTCACCGTGGTCTTCTCTCGGTCCGTTGGTGTGATGGTGTCTCTCCCAGTCAACAAGAAAAGAGTTACAAAGAATTTACAGTCGGCAAGAAGAGATGCATATTACGTAATCCCCGCGCGCGTTGTACAGTATTTGGATCGCATGCTGATTTAAAAACCGAGGACCGTTGAGTTATTTTTTTCGTCTTAGATTTACAGTTTTGTTGCCGCGCGCATCCGGGTTCATCCGGGTTGTGGTTCGGTCGCGGTGGCTCGGATGCGGCGTTGTGGTAATTTTTCTTCCGGTTTGGGATAAATGGTGGTTGTCGTGGAATTACGTTTCCCTTTTCCGCGGTTTTTGCGTTTTGACATATGTGTTTTGAACTCATTCTCTATGCTCATGCTCTTCCGCGACACACAGAGTTGTTTTGTTTACAAAAAGTCAAGCACATTGGGTAGATGTTACGTTACAGTGGCGCGGTTACAGTCAAATAAATTTTACTCGACTTCAAATGTTTTTCGCATTCCGGGCATTTTCATAATATGGATAAAATTAGAAAGCAGGTCTCTCGGTGAACCTGTTTGTATACGTATTTTACTCAACCGGATGTTGCGCTCGAGTCTGAAAGTTGCTTTTTCATCAAGAGAAACGGTCCACTAAGTTCCCGAAGCAGAAAATCAGTGTTGCTTTTATGCGGGGTAACGCAGCCTGTGTTCAGGAAACGTTTTGTGTCGGTAAGAGGTTAGATAAGTGTACTATGTGCTGAAGTGACGCAACATGTGATTTTTTGGTTCTCCAGTGGCCAGTCTTCATGTAATCAACCCATTTTTTAAAAACTTCGTCGGAAAGCATTTTATTTGTTTTTATTTTTCAAAACTCCGGCGAGACGCGCACACACAAGAGAGCGATTGACCGGGCGGCTGCCAATAAACCGTCATGTCGGCACGGCAACCATCTACGGTTGCCAGTTTGAGAATGCAAGTGGAACTGCTGTTGAACTGCCAGTGCCATCGCATGGCCTCATTCAGCTGCACCAGATTCAAAAAAAGTAATCGCCAAAGCAAACGTTTAGAAAGATGGGCAGTAATTCCATGTCACCCCATTTGCTATATACCAATTTACAGTATATGAGCCATATTTTCATGCTGATCTTAATCTTAGCTCTGGATAGCGCATATCCGCCTGGACACTGGTCAAAGGACCCCTTTTCCATCTTTCCCGAGGTGGCTTCGGGAACTGCACCCGTAGTCAGCGCTATCTAAGCCTAATCTTGGACTAAAATTTCTGTGTGGTCTGTTTGCTCTTAAAGAAACTAATTATGAACGATACGTCAGGTTCGTCGGTTGTTCCAACGGCCACCGCACCACCTGCGCATGTCGCGAACATAGCGACAACCTTGAGAAAAATGGATTTCATACGGAACCTGTATCGCTGTGGCGTGGTCGGTCTGCGTGACGACACCAACGGCCTAGTGCGCCACGGCATCATCCGCGATCTGGCGGCGAACGGCGATTTCCTCGTTGACTTCGGCGTGACGGGTCAGAACAAAGTCAGCGTGCCCGTTTGCCAGTGCCTGGAATGGCGGGGGCCCTGCTCCCCCGCGCCCCCGACCCCCGGGACCCCCGTCCTAACCCTCTACTGCACCGCCCCTGATTACACGACGTATTGTCGGGGGGTGCTCCGCTCGCTGAAGTTCGTCCCCGGTCAGCCGTGGTACTGGTACCCCTCCACCTTCCTGGCGGGGGAGGACGCCCAGTACGCTTGTGTGGCCATCCACCTCCCGGGCGGGGAGACGCTGCGCACGGTGGTGCGGCCGGAGCGCGTGCGGCGCGTCCCCCCGGTGGAGCACGGGGACGGGTGGGTCCCCTACCCGTCCGAGCGGCTGCGCTACTGGCGACACGCCGTGCCTGTCATGGATAAGCATCTGATGGCCGCCTCCCAACAGATCCTTCTGATCCAGGCCGGGGCGGCGTTCCGCACGGCCTGGCATACCGCCACCAGCAGCATCAGCGTCGGGCTCCGTCCAGGACAGACCGGGTGGCTGGACCTCGTCTACCTGTCCCACCAGGAGACACCGATGCCCGATACTGAAGTGGTGAGTATGGAAATGCCAATAACCGTTCACTGAGGCCCTGCGCCTGCTTTCAGACGTTCGGCCGTTGTTAACGGTAGTTCTTATTAGGATAATATGTATAATTATCCAATTACCGTAGTCAAATCCGTGCAGTAAAAATATTTTACGACGCTATTGGAAAAGTTTATGTTGACAAAACATTTGCTTTAGGTGACTGATATCATATCAGTGCATATCAGTGATATGCATTAATCGAGAAAATTCGAAGCACTTCATTAAGGCTCATTTAAATCTGGTATCTGTATCTTTAAAGCATTTTCACAAAATGTGCTTGGAGTTTTAGATGAGTAAGCTACGTGAAGTTGTGGAGAAGTTTAGACACTCTCCGAAACCGAAACCGAAACAGAATCAGGTGCCGAAACGATCTCTGGACGTTGCCGGCGGCACGCCGGCGAAAAAGCCAACTAAAGTAAGTCGCTATGGTATAACCAATGAGTTATGTTTCGTCTTAGGCCGGGGTGTCCAAGTGAAGCCGTTCAAACAACTTCAAAATCACAATCTAAAGAAAAAAAAAACACGGAATATATTTTTAGCGCTGAACTACTGTGATCGCCCGCATAATAAGTTAATTATGAATTATGCTTGGATGGCGATATACATATAGGCTAGCTCAGTCTTTTGCAGGCTAAATCGGCTGCGCTAAGTCGCTCGTCAGACCCATTAGTGTCCGAATTGACACCGCGCATCACGGCGGAAATCCTCTCCTGTCTAGCGGTCAACCAACAGATGACGTGCCGCCGTGTATGCACCAAATGGAACGGGATTGCCACCGCCGGCATGCTGACCACCGTTATAATCGACCCAGGCAAGTATCCCCGGGCCAAACTGCCTTATGCGTTGTGCCACACGATCAACCCGAACACCCAGCTCCTGCTGATCACCAACGGGACGCACGTGCGGGAGTTCACTGTGTCTTTCTTCAACGTGGTCTTCGACATGCTCCGGGGTCTCCAAACCCGGGTGCCGTGCATTGTCGTAACCGATACCAAGGTGCTGGCGCGCGATCTGTATGTGGATAAATGGCGGAACACGTTGCCGTGGTCGACGGTGTGTCAGCGGTTAGTTCTGCGCAACGTCAAGCTGGTGTTACAGCAGCGGCAACGCGAGGGAGCGGATGATCTGGTATGGCTGGAAGGGGTGCTACGGAGGGATTACGGGATACGTGACTGCCAGTGGAAATTAACGGAACACGCGCGGGGTCTGTTCGTTGATGTGTTGGCGGTGTTGCGGATTATTGACGGAATTCGACGGTTCAACCCATAGGTGTAACTGGTGTAGACGGAATTCCGCGGAAATTGGAATCGCAAAAACTGTTTTCACGCCAATGTATGCATATGCGTTTCCACTTTGGAGTTTGGAGTGTGAACAAACGAAACGAATATCTTTCGGAGCACGCGACAGCGAACGCTGCATCGAGCGTGTACGATTTTTGTAGTATGTTTTGCATTTATCTCTAAGCTGATGAGCTTACGTAACTAATAGCTAATTCGTTTACCGACACTCGATCTCAAGAGCAAGAATTAAATCTCTGTGAAGACCTCTCTAATAACGTTTTTCTGGAACAGTGTTTCTTAGGTTTACTTAGGTTTCTTAGGCTTATTAGGTTTATTTCTTAGGTTTCTGTTATGTGTTTTTCTTGTATTTTAACCTCAGTATTACTGGGAATTATAAAAACTGGACAGATTACCCAAAATGCAAGCACTACACACTCGTGACCTTTACAATAAAGACCGTGCATGGTTGTTCTTCTTTGGCCATCCCGTTGGTGAGCGGCCAGTGCTGCTCCCGCGTGGGTCACTGCAGAAACACGAAGCGCATCACCGAGGCGGCCTCAAACTGCCGCGCGGTCTACTTGGCATTCCTGGTAATTCATCCACCGCGACATTTTGGCATACACCGGCACTGAATGGCATCAGGCGACGGTGAAAAACGTGTTTTCCAAGAAATATCATATGTTGTATCGCCAAATCGTTGCTCCCACGGGAGAAGATGTGCGTAAGAAATCCATTGTGCGCTTCCTAACCACTGATTACATAATGCTATGCGTAAATGACAACCGAATTTATGCAGTTAATTTAAGCCATGAAAAGCCGCCTTTTGAAAAGAATTAAGCGATGAAAGCCTGAAGCTATCAAAAATATTGCGAATTGACGACACAAATAGTTGTCAATTTGTCATGTACAGACTGTACAAGTCAAAGTGTATCTCGGTAAATTGGTAATCATTTTATCGGAACCGAAGCAAGGCAAGATCGAGAAATATCGTAATATCGGCCAGGACTCCCCAATGTCCCATTCCGTCCTCTGGGCTTTGAAGCGCTCGGATCGGAAGCTGCCGCACGATAACGGAATTCGGACCGGAGATACATTAGGAAACCAACCGGCGAAAAATAAGCCACGAAATATCTTCACCAGCGGATCAGCATCGAAATCCAACGAGGAAATGCGGCATCGAGCATGGGGACAGCCCCAATGGATGTAAATTTAGATCAAATTTTCTCTGTGATTAGGTAGCCTTTTCCACTGGTGCTTAAGCGATTGTTTCTCAAATTACTGTGAAACTTTCGGTTCACAGATAATAATAAAAAAATGAAATAAATATAGCATATTATCGGAAACATTTTCGCTATTTAGGTACAAGGCAATCTTGGAAACTCCCGAGAAGTAAGAGTTACCAGTTTAATAGAAAATGTCGATGGCTGTTCAATAGTTGATGTCATGAAATTATTTTTCGATTGAAAGTTCTATCCTCATGCTCTGCCGCGGCAAATTCGGAGGTGTTGCCAAAAATTACCACAATTTTCTACGTTAAGTACTGCAAGTAAAATCAACAATTTTTACAAAATGATTTTCGTCAGATTTACAAATTTTGCATAAGAGGCGTTTAGGTTTCCGGATCATTGGTTTTAAGGGTTAAGGGATTTGGCCTGGTACAAAGTACCGAATCGGGTACATAAACGGGAACTTGCGCTGTCGCCCACTCCTAAACACGTTTTCGCATTGGTTTATGACATTTTGAAGCCAAAGGATTTGTATACGTAGGCGCAAAATCCGTTTGCGCGCGTAACATCCTGTTCGGGAATCGGGAGTTATTAATGAAATAAAATTCCAAAAATTTAAACGCGCGGAGGTGTACGTACCAAAAGTCTCATTATGAACCGATGCTCTTCAAATTTTGCACGAGAACTAGTGCCCTGCAACGGAGTCGAAAACTTCGTCCAGTCCGATCCGAACTAATAATCGAACCAGTCCGACCTGATTTCAAGGCAAGATCGAGAAATATCGTAATATCGGCCAGGACTCCCCAATGTCCCATTCCGTCCTCTGGGCTTTGAAGCGCACGGATCGGAAGCTGCCGCACGATAACGGAATTCGGACCGGAGATACATTAGGAAACCAACCGGCGAAAAATAAGCCACGAAATATCTTCACCAGCGGATCAGCATCGAAATCCAACGAGGAAATGCGGCATCGAGCATGGGGACAGCCCTAATGGATGCAAATTTAGATCAAATTTTCTCTGTGATTAGGCAGCCTATGTCGACCGGTGCTTAATCTAACCGATTGTTTCTGAAAGTACTCGTACTGTGAAACTTTCGGTTGACAGATAATAATAAAAAAATGAGTTAAATAAAATATACAGCATATTATCGGAAACACTTTCGCTGTAGAGGTTCAAGGCAATCCTGGAAACTCCCAAGAAGTAAGAGTAACCAGTTTAATAGAGAACGTCGACGGCTGTTAAATAGTTGATGTCGTGAAATCATTTTCGATTGAATTTTTCGATTGAAAGTTCCATCCTCATGCTCTGCCGCGGCAAATTCGGAGGTGATGTCAAAAATTACCACAATTTTTCTACGTTAAGTACTGCAAGTAAAATTAATAATTTTTACAAAATGATTTTCGTCAGATTTACAAATTTTGCATAGAAGGAAGGCGTTGAGGTTTCCGGATCATTGGTTTTAAGGGTTAAGGGATATACCGAATCGGGTACATGCACGGGAACTTTTGCTGTCGCCCACTCCCAAACACTTTTTCGCATTGCTTTACGACATTTTGTAGCCAAAGGATTTGCATACGTAGGCGTGAAATCCGTTTGCGCGCGCAACATCCGATTCGGGAGTTATTAATGAAATATGAAATTAAATTCCAAAAGTTTAAACGCGCGGAGGTGTACAAAAAGTCTCACTATGAACCGATGCTCTTCAAATTTTGCACGAAAACATTACCATGAAGCTTGTTTTGGTACCGAACCAGCTGGCAGCTTTCTACCTAAAATCTACATAAGTTGTGACAACTTCCTCGAGTTTCGCTTATAATTATAAGTTTTATAACAATTACATAATAATATTCCCGGTTAACATTAGAAACGGGAATATGATACCGGACGGTCAGGCGGCTACTATTGAGTCATTCATCCACCATGTCCCTGGTGCAACCATCCGCGGTTGCCGCTCAACTGCTCAAGGTGCTTTAATGGCTGACAGGCCAGAGGCTCGTATGGATGCCCGTGTTGAAAGTTGAAATTCCAACAGGCGCCTACAGTTTTCAGTTGTTTTCTGAACAATTTCCAGTTGTGAATACTTGTTATTCCCGAACATCGGATGCTTTACAACCGTTTTAATCGCAGCATGGAACCGTGATTTACGCATTTACCTTGCAAATTTCACCGTGCAGTCTTCGTGAACTGTCAATCTGTCATATACGTTATGTTGACAAAATGCTGTTAGTTTTACAGTTTTACTGGCTAATCTGTTCGCAGTGTTCTGAACTTCTGGTATTATCCTGTTAATTCTGTGGTGCGAGCAGACCGTCAAGCAAACAAACAGTACTTCTAAGTTCTAACATCCACTTTCCGTGTGGAGCATAAATGCTACTCAAATGTCTGATAAACACTGCTTAACGTCTAATGTGGAACGCGGCTACCCAGCCGTTGTCAGTTCAGGAGCAACGATGAGAAAAGCCCCGCGGGACAGGCTGGAGTTTACCCGCGACGTGTACCGCTGCGGTGTGGTGGATGTGCGTGACGACGCCAACGGCTTAGTGCGGCACGGCATCATCCGCGATCTGACACCGCACGGTGATTTCTTCGTCGATTTTGGCCAGTACAACGCCTGCGTGCCCCTCAGCCAATGCTTGGTCTGGCGGGCACCCTCCCTTCCCCCCTGACACCCGGGACCGCCGTGACAACCCTCTTTCATACCGCTCCCGACCGGCCGTGGCACTGGCACTCCTCGACCGTCGTGGTGGCCGAGGACACCAGCGCCCAGCACAGTTACGCGTGCGTGGACATCCACGCCCCGGGCGGGCAGACGGTGCGCACCGTGGTGGCACTGGAGCGCCTGCACGCGGCGGACGGGGACGGTTGGGGGGAGTTGCGCCGGAAGACTCCGGGGCAACCCTACCCGGATACATTCCCGTGCCAGGACGGTCTGCGCTTCTGGCGACATAGGGCGCGGGTGGTGGATGCGCAGCTGATGGCCGCCGCCAGGAAGTGGAGCCAGGGGGCTGCGTTCCGCGCGGCCTGGCATCACGCCACCGGCACGATCAGCGTCGGCTATTGTGTACGCGAGACGGGGAACATGGATTTTATCTACCTTTCCCACGAGGAGGTGCCGTTGCCTGATACGGAAGTTGTAAGCATGGAGATGATTATTATTATTATTATTATTACATCAAGAGCAGACAACTCGCTAAACGGGACTTCAACGTCTGGTCGGCAAAAAGCTATTATTATCATTACTATCGCACTGCACTACAGTAGCCAAACTCCATTAACGGAGATATCTTGCCAGGGTATTTGAAAATTTTTTGGGTAATTTTGATTTTGAAGACGTATACTTCTTTTGGGTTGATTTTGTGATAGATTATGACCAGATTTTTTTTTGATAAAAATTACCCCCATATACACGTACAAGCAGGAATCGAACCCAGGACATACATACGACCGTGCCGAACAATGAACATTTAATAGTTAAATTAAATTGGATTTATTACGAGTACTTTCTTCGCAGACTTTGATTGGTTTGCTCCTTGTAGTTGAGCAAGCTGCGTGGTGTCACCGAACAGTTGGAACAGTCTCGAGGGCTGAAGCGATCACCTGACGTTGCCGTCAGCAGACCGATGAAAAAGCCGGCTAAGGTAAGCATCTATTATCAATAGATTCATATATCCTTACGTCCTTATTTTTTGGAAATTATCTCCTAAATCAGGATTGATTTTTTCAATAAGTTGATGATTTTAAAAAATAGAGCATCGCACAAACGTTCCTACCTTTATATTTTAAAAAAATCTTAAGTTTTGGAGAAGGTCTAAAAAAATTTTTAGAAGCTGTAGTACTTAAAGGTTGTTAGTACTTAAAGGTTGTTGGTTTTGAAAAATATCTTCTAATTCGAAATTCCGTTTGTGAAGCATTTGATAGTTTTATAAAATCCAGCATCTTCCAAAGCTTCCTACCTGCTGCTTGGAAAAAAATTTTGGTTTCCGGAACGTTTTCAAAAACCCTTTTAAACTTTCAGCACTTAGCGTTCAAAGTTCATAGAAATTTCCACTAAATTCTGGAAACGAATGAGCAAATACAGGTTTTGCAACTTAGCAACCTAAACAATAGTTATTTAAAATTGTCAATTACATCCAACTTTTAAATTTACTTTTTTTAAATTCTTGAAACCTTTAGATGGTTTTAAATGCGTTTGAATACCTCAAAATAACCGTAAATTTATCCAAAGTCGGCTCCAAAGCTTTTACATTTCCAGAATTTCTAAATATTTCGACTCGGCCCCGCGCAGCGGGGCCGTTACCTCTAATTTTCTGAGCCTCCAGAATTTCAAAATTTTAAAAATATCTAGAAATCTGAGTATCTCAATATCGCACGGTTTAAATTGTCTAATTTATATGTAATTTCTAAATATCTAAAAGCCGGCCCGCGGCCTGTTTACCGTATTCACTCACGTAGCGGCTCTGTAATTCTGGTGGTAGCTTGGGCATTCACTAACCTACGTTGCTCTGTAATACTGGCGGTAGCTTGGGTATCAGAAATCTAATATAATATATATATTTATTTTATTTTAGTAGAGCTTGACTGAAGGGCTGAAAATCTTACAATCTTACATGCAGCCTGCGAGGTCACCTTGGGCAACCGTTAATCGTTTCCCACAAGTTTCCATTAATTCTGCGCTGAAATATCGGCTTAACGGTTTTTTATGGGCATCGTGTAAATGATCCCACTCCATCCATTTTATCACCGTTTAAATATTATCTGTCGTACCAAAAAATGCAGGTTTTCAATTCGTTAGAATCGGCAATATAAAGTTACCAAAAAGAACCGCGAAAAAGGCAAACAAAAAGAAAAATTACGGAGGCTTTCAGTTTTTATAAAACTGGTCGAATCTAAGCGGAAAGCTTGAAAACTGTTTGCATTTCCACATATTTATAATATTTTTGTAGCTGGTACTCGCTGAGGTTTTATATTTAAAATATTTCTCAAAATCGTTTTTATTGCTGTACGAAGTGTATTTTGTACTGTATTTCTTTCGTTTTTCCATACCTCGAAAACAACTGGTCGCGCGCTAGCGCGACCGATACTTGTATGTACATTAATTTTGGAACTATATTTTATATATAGATATATACATATATGCATTCCGTACCAGCAATACGACGCAGTTTCACAAAAAACAGCGAACACGTCAATTTCACAAAAAAAAGCGGTAAGTAATTGGAAAAGTTTTCTCGGCAGTAGCAGTTCAGAATCTTCAGATAACAATGAGCCTGCGCTAGTAAAAAGTACAGTTTAAACTATATATCAAAAAAAAGGGCCGTAAAACTCGTGAATTAACTGGAGAAGCACGTTCTACTGCTTTTATGAAGCAACGTTTTAGTTTGGCTGTCATTAAGGGAAATGCTACTGCTGTGTTAAGTACGTTGCCTTTTAACCCGCGGGCGGATAGAGATTTTGGTTGTTTTTTTAATGTTTAAATTTTAACTGTAAAGTAGTGTGCCCGCGCTTGCACTTTTGTTGTTATGGCGGCTATTGCCCAATAAACTATTATATCAAAAACTCCGATTCAGATATCAAAATATATAAACGTCTGCAACTGCAGCAGCGCTCCGATCTCAGCAACAACTGCGCGGGGGAGCTCCCCGTGTCCGCCTTGACACCGGAAATCACAGCGGAAATTCTGTCCTGCCTGACGGTGGGCGAACAGACTACATACCGGCGCGTCTGCGCCACATGGGACGCTACCGCCGCCGCCGGCCGGCTGACCACCGTCATCCTGGACCCAAAAAAATATCTTCAGGAAAAACTGGCTTTAGCGCTATACACGGCGGTCCGCCCGACCACCCAGCTGCTGGTGATCACCAACGGGACGCACGAGCGGGAATTTGATGCGTCCTTCCTCAACGTGGTCATCGGCATGCTGGGCGCTCTGCACATCCGGGTGCCGTGCATCGTGCTGGCCGACACCCAGGTGACGGCGCGCGATCTTTACGTGGAGAGCTGGCGGAAAAGCGACCCATTACCGTGGTCGACGGTATGTCGGCGCTTGCTTATGCGGGGCGTGGCGGTGCTGTTCCAGCAGCGGAAACGCGACGATAACGTGGCTCGGGAGTGTGTGCGGCTGGAAGACTTGCTGCTGAAAGACTACGGGATAAAGGAGCACTGCTGGGACTTTACGGAATGCACGCGTGGCGCCTTCACCGATGTCCTCGGCGTGTTGCGAATTTTTGACGGCATTCGGCGGTTCAACTCCTAGTGGGTGGTGCCACAATGCCGATTTTCACGCCAATGTATACAAATCATTCGAACCGTATAGATAAAACAATGCAAAAAATATGTTCCGGGGTGCAGGAAAGCGAAAGCTGCATCGAATAATTATAATATGCGAGTGCGAATTTGTATTACATGTTTATTCTCAATATGTACAAAGCGAGCTTCAATCAACAAATATCATCAAATGAAGAATTTGTGACTGTACACAACACACTCATAGCATTACCACGCATAATCTCCAAACTTAAACGTTGAAACAAAAAATTTGTATTATATACCCACAAGTGTAACATGAAAAGTCTTGCTTATGACCTTTGCAACAAGCGCGCTTTAACGGCGCGTTGTGTTTGCTTGTCCTCTTTGAGATCCGTATATCTTTTATTTCGATCCATAATTCTCCCGGCTACAATCAGACACCATTGCTTCGAATTTGTTAGGGAGCAGTTTTGTTGCTGTCTTCTTGGTCATCACGTTGATGAACGTCCGTGGTTGGTCTCGCGTGGGTCACCACTGAAAAGACGGCCGCGTCATTACGGTGGCCCCAGTCTGGCGCGGCCTGGTTGGCATTCCGTGGAAATCGCCCACCGCGACATTTCGGTATGCCAACGCTGAAAAGCATCAGGCGACGTCGGGAAAGGTGTCAGCTCAGAATACTGTCTTGTACCGGCAATCCGCAGCTCCCATGGGAGGAGAAGTGTTTACGATGTGCGTAAGAAACGCTTTGTTCCCTTCTTAAGCCTTGATTGCATAATGCCGGTTGCTCTTTAAATTTAGCTACATATAAAGCCGGTCATGGAAATATAAAGGTCGTCTTTCTTAGAATTAAGTGCCGAAGTCGGTATAAAGAGCTGCAATATGTGCTATATGTGTCATCATTTTGCCGGTTGGCTAAGATTTACTGTTAATATTATCCTTTTTAAAAGATAACTATGTATATTTACTGGAGACCGTTAAATCTCGCTGCACTGGTATTTTTCGCCGCCGGCATCGACGCCGCCGTCCGCATGTGGCCGGCACCGGCCGCCATGGCGCTGCGCCTACACGCGGAACGCGAGCGCTCCACTGTCCTGAGCCAGCGTCCCTACCGGCCGCCGACCACTACCCCCACCACGACGACGACGGCCACCCCGTCTCCGACGACGACCCCGGAGGCCGGCCAGTACCTGCACCGTTTCGGGCCGTGGCAGAGCATCCATCCGCTGCCGGCGGATCGTCGACTGCGCGCCCAGTACCAGCGTTTCCGACAGGCGCAGGCACTGGCGGCGGCGCAGCGCGGCGGTAACCCGGCCTTTGCGTCCGGGGAGGGCGCCACGTTGAAGGGGATCATGGATCTGGCCATGGGCATGGGACTGCACTGAGCACAGCCGATTCATCGCGTCATCTGAATATTTCTAAATATTTCTAAATGTTTCTAACTATCGGGAAATCTCTGGAATGGAAAAGCACATAGTCACACCGACGCACAACCTGGTGCTCATTTTTTCGTATATTTAGTGACGGCTCATTGCGCAGATCTCCCTTATTAGTTATTATAATTACATTTCATTTCCTGTTTTTGGTCTGTTTTGTACTTGTAGTTGATTATTTTGCGGAAATAATTTTATACGGTTGTAGTTTTTAACATGCAGTGAGAATGCCGATGTGCTTTGATCTCCTGACCTGAGAAAATGCTTCAACGTCCCAAATTATTCATTAACCCTGTCATATGGATATTCCTGGAGGTGGTGATTTGTTTCCGGGAAGGACTAATGGCCAGGCGACATTCCCGGCTGTATTTCATAACTCTGCGTGCTGTCCATCCATTACTTAACCAGCGTGATGAAAATTGACAGTGAATTGACAGGATTTTTCCCGCAGGACCTGTTTACCGGTTCATAGTGCATAACACATCGATCGACAGTTTATTTCACGGGCATCAGCCGCGCTTGCAGCAATATTATGTTGATATACATATAAAGTCAATAATTTGCGATAATTAGACATTTAAGGCAGAAGCCATGTGTGACCTTTTTCTATATATAACAGTACATGTATTGTACGTGTTTTTTGTTTGGTTACCTGTTTATTGTATGGTTTCCTTGTTATGTGTAATGTGTACTAAGGTAGTGTTGATTTTGAATAAGGTAGAGGCTTTGCAACATTAGTTAATATGAATTCTTAAAACGTTTTACGCAGTTTCTGCCAGCGCAGGCTCATTGTTATGTGAAATGGCTATTGCCGAATAAAAACACGTACTACTAAAAATGTGTTCCAGTGGTTCCCACTTAAAACATAATTCCACTAAGTTCAGTAATTAAACTTCGGGAAAATCATTAATTTCGGTATTGTACCTGCCGAGGCAGTAGACTGTACTCTGTATCAGTATGTATGACATGGAAATGGCCCGAAACATGGCACCAAATTCGTATACGCTGTACATATAATATTAAGGAAAACTGCAGTACCTTGTAGTACAGATATCTCTCGTGCACGTCGAAACCCTTATGGATAACTTTTTTACACTCTGGCTAGAAAACCGTCTATATGCTCAACATCCGGTTGCCGAGATATGGCGAGATATTACTAGTAAAAGTTCAAGGGCGATACGTGCACCAAAATTCAAGTTATTATCCGATTTTGAAGCTTTGCTGTAACAGTACATATAAGGATGAAGATCAAATTTAATCCCTACATAAACCATACATATTCGTATATATTCGTAGCATTTTCTGGAAAATACGAAATGAAATCTGATTTATCAGTTCTAGCGGTACATTTTGTCGATGTATCCGTATACTACATATTTATGGTTTCTGTGAACGCGCTTCCCATGACTTTCCCATAATTAGCGCGCGATATTCAGTCATCATATGTATACAGGCGTATTCTGCGTTTCCCGTCGAACGAACGGGATTCGGTGGATTACTAGGTCGGGCCGTAATTACTTAACCCCGTCAGGATCGCTAACAACACCGCAGGCGGCACTTATCCAGCAAACAAGGCTCGGCAGAATTTCCGCTTATTATTAAATCAGTATACGCCTTGGGCCAAATTACACATAATCGCTGATTACATTCTACAGTACAACGTCTACGACATAAAATCACTGTACATTGTACATAACCGTCCAAACACCCACGTCGCATAATATATCGTGAAACCGTGCCAACGCGCATAAAACAGCAACCTATACAATGCAGGGAAACATTGGCAAAGGTCACTGCATGGCGTAGGTGTGCTCGAACAACAGCAGGGAAATCCGCGTGACAAATCCATCCAGTCGCTCGTTTTTATTGCTTTTAAATGCCACACTTCACCTTGTACTCACAAACAAGACGACTCTCCGAAACTGTACCGTCGATTATCCGAACCGTAAATAAACGTGGGAGCGCGGCGCCGGGGCCGGTGTCGGATCGGGGATGATGGGCGCCACCGTCGCCACCGGCCGCATCTGCTCGATCCGTTCCATCACACTGTCGGCCGACAGCCCGGCCACCGGACCCTCGCCGCGACTGCGCTGCATGGCGGTGCGGGCGGGCGGCACCATCCCGTGACCTTTACCGGGGGTCGGTTCCGGGAAGAGGTCGTCGTCCACGGAGCGCAGGGAGGTCAGGCGGAGGAGCGGGCGGGACCGCTGCGGGAAGACGGAGTCGGGCGGAGCCTCGTCCTCCGGGACGGTGTCCAGCAGGAGACGCAGGAAGCGGCTGCCGCTGTACACGCGCTTCACCGGCCAGTCGAGGGTGTCGGCGGAACGGTAGAAGTCGCCGCGGTGGGCAAATGCGGCGGTGCCGGTGAGGATGTGGATTAATGTTATCAGCTCGATTATATGCATTCCCAACATGACGGAGTTTTATATATGTATCAGATTTTAAGCACGGCTATATCATGACAATCGGTTGTCAGCCACTCAAGTAAAAATGGTCGCACGCGCTGGTACACTACTTGATAGTTAAAATTTAAACATTAAAATGAACAAACCAGCGTCTCTGTCTTCACTCAGGTTGATAGGTAACGTCATGGTATTGTGATTCAGTACATATTTTCGAAAAATGTAAATCCCGCAAGCGTTATGCAAAATTACTAAAACGTACGTATACCAATCCCGATAAGTGACAGTCCAAAGTGAGTACCAGTCGCTCTTTATATACAGTGTCTCTGGCGTACCCGGCGACAACAGCCATCAGCGTATCATTATCGACGTATGACACCAATTGATCGCGCTGCACACAACAGCCTTGTTTGGCAGATTGCGGCCCAGTGAATAGGCTGCATGATCCGGTGTTAAAGAGGATTGATTGGCGTGGCCCCGGCCTGGACGCCCCTGCTGGCGCAGTCCCGGACGCCGGGTGGCCTGGGCGGGCACTAATTGGGCAGCTGCGCGACCGGATGTCGCCGGCGCAGTCCCCGTTGATAACGCCCATCGGCCGGGGGGAATTGCTCCCCGGGAGCGGCTCCATGGGACGCAGGGGAATGTGCCATACAAATGTCCGCTTTTTGCTGCTGTTATCCCGGTTATTCAATTGCCCGTAAACAGTGTCATCCCACGTGCGGTAATTGAAAATTATGGCTTCAAGGGAAATGCCTGTCGGTCATGCATACGTATACAGTGTACCTATGTACAAGCGTGCCCCGTAATTTCTTACGTAAAGGTTTGGCGTAACCCGGGAATTTGTATTTGTCGCTGTGGTGGTGCGTTAGAAATTACGGGACAAGCTTGTATATCGTTACAAGCCGTACGAGTATGTTTAAAGTGTCCTAATTCCCTGTTATTCTACGTCATGTACCACATCATAACACAGGCGTATATCTATAAAAATAATTATTGTGTTATGTTGTAAAAGTTACTGCGTAGACGATCGACAGAAATAAAGACAATAAGTACTTAATTTACGGATAATATTACGATGCAGTGTATTCATCTTGTACGTAATTATAATAATAGGAGTACTAATTTTAAAGTTTAAACTGTTTTTGCAAAGACGTAGAGGAAACGAAACAGCGTATATCAGTGCAGTATGGCGTCGATGCGAAGGAACGCACCCGGGCGTACAGGAAAGAAAGACTGCAAGGAAAACAACAGATTTACCGATCCAAAAGTTCCCGTAGTTTATCGAGTTATCGAGGAAGAGTTGCGAATGTAGCGGTAACCCACGGTCGGGGGAGTTTTTGCGCCAGAGAATCAGTATTGAGATACAACGAGGAAGTGCAGTGTCTGTCCTCGGAACTTTTAATGGCATGAGAGACAACGAAGATGTTTTTTTAGCATTTAGATTGGCTGGTCGGGAATATTTAGTGCCCGATGTTGTTTTTCTTGGCAGCTTTGCTGTGATTTTGTTATCAATGAATTAAAAAAAGAAAGATTTACCGGTTGTACATTGGTGGAAAGCTTGATGAAGTGTGCTGGATGTTGTAAAAAGAAAACCAACTCCACACATACTTCTATCGACATTTAAGAAAAATGGCCCGCTACATGGTGTCAAAAATGAAATACATACACTAAACTTTCGCTTTCGCGCACTCCGAATCACGTTTTTGTGATACTTTGTGCCATTCTAAAGCTAAATGATTTGTATACATTGTTCTGAAAACGGTTTGCCCGCGCAGCCTTGTTGTGTACCAAAAGTCTGGTTATTACCCAATCATCCTGAAATCAGCTTTTTTCTTTCAGATCTTCTTATTTTTTTATTATATATATAGTTCTATCGAATTGGCGCAGCAAGTTACGTACGAATATAGAATTTACGGTTTCCCGGGTGTAATACTTCTTATTTACGGTTGCACTGAAAATCAGTTTGTAGTTACTGATCGTCTGATGACAAACAGATGTTTAACAAATCACCGGTGGTTAACGTGTACAGGCAACGTCCACAGATGCGGCCAAAACCGTTTCCCACAGCGAAGCAGGTTGAATACTCAGGCGGCGGTCATCTTGCGCACCATGTAGTTGAGGACGCCGCCGTTGCGGTAGTAGGTCAGCTCCACTTCCGTGTCGAAGCGAGCCACCACCTGGAACTCCTTCCCGTCATCCGTCTAACCAAACACATTCATTTCGATCACGGTGACTTGCCATGCAGTTCATCTAATTTTACTATGGCAGCCTCAATTTCCTTCTCATTATCACGACGACAGTGAATCCGCTGGCCGGAATGTGCACACTGACTGACCTTAACGGTGACTCGGTCGCCGGGCTGGATGAGATCGGGGATGCCGATGGTGAATTTCTCCCGTCCCGTCAGGCCCAGCGTGTCGGCGCTCTGGCCGGGCACGTACTGCAGCGGCGCGATGCCCATCCCGATCAGATTGCTGCGGTGGATGCGCTCGTAGCTCTCCGCGATCACCGCCTTCACGCCCTGCAATCACAATCCACCATCAGAATTTGAAGAACACAACTAACAAAGACGGAGGGAGCAACGCGCATTAAATGACCGGCGCTGGACCAGAAGAGAAAATATTGGCGCGATATTCCTTTGTCAATCTGCTTCCTAATATCGAGAGACTGACCGTGCTGCTTCTTTATTGATGGTACATGAGGACTTTACCCGGATGATATGTACGAGTACAATGCTAGCATGCGTACAGATGACTGCTTTTTTTTTCCGCAACAAAAATGGCATTAATGTTTTCGTCAATAGCCACGCTGGCTGGAGAATAACTGCGTGTGTCTTACCAGCAGCAGCGGTCCCTTGGCCGCCCAGTCGCGCGACGATCCCGAGCCGTACTCCTTCCCGGTCAGGATGATCAGCGGGGTCCCCTCCGCCATGTAGCGGTCCGCGGCATCCGGAATGTCCATCACGTCGCCGCTGGGAATGTGCACCGTCTGTGGACCGGGCTTGCTCACCTGCAACCAATTTACCACCGTCAACAATCGGTCCAACGGGAGATATGGCGAATTCAATGCACAAAATGTGAAAATCAGGTGACAAGCAACCCATCTTCCGGAAATTCTGCTGTTAACGCACACAACTACCAAGACGAACCGGTCCCCGAAATTTTAAAATCAGTTTTACAACACTAATTAAATTCAGTTTATCAGTAAACATGTTGCTTAATTTCTCAGCAATAAAAACCATCATTTCTGAAAAACATTCAAAACGCAAATCCTACAAATACAGACTAGAATCCGCAACAAAACAAGACCAAACTCCGCTAGAGAAAATAGTCAAAATTCAGGAAAGATCTCTTAAATTATCTGGAAAAAAATGTCACGAAAACGGTCAACTAATTCGTACCAGTTTATTGACGAGCCGAATGTTGGCGAAGGTGCCGCGCTTCATGACGGCATCATGGCCGCGGCGTGACCCGTACGAATTGAAGTCTTTGGGAGCGATGCCGCGCTCGACGAGGTAGCGGGCCGCTGGCGAGGTGCGGGCGATGTTGCCGGCCGGACTGATGTGGTCCGTCGTGATGGAGTCGCCCAGGTGCAGCAGGCAGTGGGCGGCGTGGATGGGCTGGATGGGGTGCACCTCCCGCGACATGCCGTCGAAGTAGGGCGGGTACTTGACGTAAGTAGACATCTCGCTCCACGGATACAGCACCTACCAAACAACCACGCCGGTTATTCAAAAAAATGCAAAATTACAGAGAAATGCAACTAATAATCCGGAAAAATCCGCGGGATTTAAGGGTAAAAAAAAATATATAACAAGCTCATCAAAGGTCAGGAGGGAAATAAAGAATCAAAAAATTTCTGAAACGTAGGAAAATTATAAAATTTAGCACAATATATTTCTAAAACTCTGGAGAAATCACCGGAAAATTAAAAGTGCATTCCTAAAAATTAGGTAATAGAAAATTATCCGGAATAAAATTTAAAAATCATAGAAACAATTCTCCAACCCCAAGAAAAAAATACCTAAACTGAAGCGAAGGTCTCCAGAAATCATGAAAAATTTACTATGTATAAATATATAAAATCTTGGAAGCATGGAATTTTCAGTTAAACAAAATCCTTGAAATTTAGTAAGACATCCGCAGAACGCATAAAAACCTTCTGAAATCAACCAGGAAAAAAATTATGCAATTTCACAAAATTCTTATTAATTATACAAATTCCGAATAATTAGGCGAGAATACCTAAAATTCCAGAAAAAATTTCCGAATTTTAGGAAAAATCCTTATTACCGATGGTTGCGCGTCCAGCGAATTCCAGCGACTATTCCCGGCCGCCACACTGCCGTAGACCTCCTCGAACATGGCCGGATGCACCACCTTCCGCTCCAGCTGGTCCACTTCCTCGCGCGTCGGCCAGATATCGCGCAGGAAGACCGGCGTCCCGTCGGGCGACTGTCCCAACGGCTCCCTGTCGAAATCAATGGCCACGGTGCCGGCCAGCGCGTAGGCCACCACCAGGGGCGGCGAGGCCAGGTAGTTGGCGCGCGTGTTGGGGTGGATGCGGCCCTCGAAGTTGCGGTTGCCGGACAGCACGCCGGCCACGATCAGGTCGCCCTTCTCGATGGCCGCCACGATGGACTCGTGCAGCGGCCCGCTGTTCCCGATGCAGGTCATGCAGCCGTAGCCCGTCACCGAAAACCTGCCCGGAATAATAACGCAGTGTTTTCCATCAATTATTTTGCTAATTTTCGAAAGTGCGTCAGACATCAAAAAACCTCTGAAGTGAAATTAAAAATAAACAAAATTAAGAATAATTATTTTGCCCGTCTTATAAGGTAGGTTCTTGTTAGCTTATTTAAATTCGCATTATTCGTTCAAATGTACCTTGCTTTGTTCTATCGATTACCTTTCGGTAAATCGTTCAAGGCAGAAATTTTATTCGTTCAAAATTGGTTCCTTAAAAAAATCGAATAATTAAAAGAAATTATTTCCCCTACAATGCCCATTGTCCATCATTTTCCATTTATTAATTTTTTTAAAAAAAATGCTTTTATTACATGTATGTCTTAAATGTATGTCTTAAATGTATGTATGTCTTACATGTATGTCTTAAATTGTATGTCTTAAATATTCCGCAATAATGTTTACATTTTTCAAATAAAAGGCCGGCTTAATTTCGAACCATTAGTTAATTACTTTTCCATGTTAGTTTAATCATATATATTATCGCACTTATTTCCGGGGTTTTATTTCCACACCGATGGTTTTCCTTTCTTCGTAACCTGCGTGGGCAAGCGCCCAACTAAATTAGAAGAAATTTTGCCATTGTAATTATTCTGTTCTTGTTACAAAACTGTTTTTTTTTGCCGGGAATTACTTTTAATAAGCATCATGTACAAGCACATACTGAGTACTGAAACAAAATTCATTGTACTGTCACTGCTGTGCCTGGCTTGTGCTAATAAAAGCACAGTATACCGATTAACATCGTGCGAATTGTAGTGAAGCGGCGCACTGCGACGTCATCCACAGCGTTGTTCTGGCAATTCTGCCACCGAAAAAAATTGAATAAAGTATAAAATTAATTAAAACTATGTCTTTCTTTTCAACTCAACCGATTGTTATTTATTTTTCAAATAATCTGATTTACCAATATAAATTTTGTTCGTTGATTTATTAATTTTAATTTGATCAAATAAATTTGCTTATTTCATTTTACATGAAATCTGGTTCATTTCGGAAAGCTTTAATGAGAAAGCGATGACCAACCCGAGTTGTTCCAGGAACGGCGTCAATCCCGAGGACTGCAGGTACTTCGTGGCCACCCCGCTCCCCGGCGACAAGCTGGTCTTAACGTACGGCTTAACCAACAACCCGCGTTCCACGGCCTTTCTGGCCAACAGTCCAGCGCCCAGCATTACGCTGGGGTTGCTGGTGTTGGTGCAGCTGGTGATGGCGGCGATGACCACGTCCCCGTGGCGCAGCGGATACTCCCGGCCGTCGTATAGCAGCGGCGCGTGGGCGCTGACCCGGTCAGGCGGGAGACCGTAGCCCTTGAAGCCCACCTGCGGAGGCAGCGGGTGGGATCAGTTGGGTGTTTAGCAGGCTAGAGTCTCGTTCGTTATCGGAAATAATTGGCTGTTTAACAGACTAGAGTCTCGTTCGTTATCGGAATTAAATTTGTTGTTTAGCAAGCTAGAGTCTCCTTCGTTATCGGAATTAAATCTGCTGCTTGTTAGACTAGTGTCTCGTTCGTTATCGGAATCAAATTGGCTGTTGGGCTAGAGTCTCGTTCGTTATCGGAATTAACCAGACGCGAACCTTGTTGGTGAGAGCCTTGGTGAAGTCGTCTTTGACCTGGGTCAGGGGGACCATGTCGTGCGGACGTTTCGGGCCGCTGATGCTCGGCACGACCGTACTCAAATCTTAACGTACACAACAGTGAGAAAAGATGACAAATAAATAAAAAATAAAAAAAAAACAGCAGTAAAAAAGAAATAAAAAATTAAGAAAATAGAAATTACTGACCCAGTTCGACAACGGTGGTGAAAGTCGGGTCTTCGTCGGGTTTGGTGTAATCACGGAACATGCCCGTGGCTTTCAGGTAGGCTTCCACCACGGCCAATTTGCGCGACGTTCGTCCTGCCGATACAATCATGCGGTTATTATTGCACTTTTATATTTAAATATGCCGTAATTAAAATTATTTTTCAGAATTTAAAAAAAAATTTTAAACGATGTGTTTTAATTTTAATATTTTAAATAGAATACGCAATAATTGTTTTTTCTAAATGTTCAGTTCTTTCATGTACGTAAAATAATAACATTCGCCACCACTGCTTCGCAAAATTTCTGCATTTTTTATATCAAAAGGCAAAAAAAAAATTATAAAAAATGCCCATGAATGCAGGTTAATAATAAGCATTACCGGTATTTATTGGCTTTTCAGATAAATGTTTATTTAGAAAGTGTGTATTTTACTCTATGCTGCATAACAGAATATCTAATCACAAGCCCGCTGTATCTTGTACGACATATTTGGAGAAGTGGAACGCGGTCCACTGTTCTACAACTCCCTATGCCAATTAAGCCATTGCAGTAGCCACCCAAATAGCAATAACTGCAAGCGCTAGTACACTACTTAATAGTTAAAAATTGGAACATTAAAAAAACAAAGCCATTAGTATAGCAATATTTACCGGTCTGTCGCAGGTAGTCCAGCGTCTTGTTGTCCACCGGGAAGAAGCCGCAGGTGGCGCCGTACTCCGGCGCCATATTGCTGATGGTGGCGCGGTCGGCGATGCTCAGCGCGGCGCACCCGGCGCCGAAGAACTCCACGAACTTATTCACCACGCCCAATTTGCGCAGAATCTATTGGACAAGATTACCGGGAATATTTAACCACATCGGTGCACAAGACAATGCGCGTACCGCGGTGATGGTGAGGACCAGATCCGTGCTGGTGGTCACTTCCGGCAGCCGGCCGGTCAGCTTGAAGCCCACCACCTCCGGGAGGACCATGCTGATGGCCTGGCCCAGCATCACGGCCTCCGCTTCGATGCCGCCGACGCCTGCCATTAATTACGCAAAATTAATACAATTTAATTAATCAAAATCAAATTAAATTAATTTAATTTTATCAAATTAAAACACATTAAATATGCTGCTCGTAGGTTATTAATTCTCCCGTTTTTCCATGAATACAGAATTTCGTTAAAAGGCCTGTAAAATCGAAAACCAATCAATGTGCGTGGAATATCTATTAAAATTCGTTAAAAATTTGTTTCAAAACACGGTCCATTAAAATAGCAAAAACAAGAGCAAAACGCGGATCAGGAGACTACGCACCCCATCCCAGGACGCCGAGACCGTTGATCATGGTAGTGTGGGAGTCGGTGCCGACGACGGTGTCCGGGTAGAGCAGACCGCTGTCCGCTTCGAAGACGACCCGCGCCAAATACTCCAAATTCACCTGGTGGACGATGCCGGAGCCAGGCGGGACGATCAGCATGTTCTGGAAGGCCTTCGCGCCCCACTATACACCAACCACCGTGAATTATTCAAAACAAATAAACAGAATTAGCAAAAATACCGCCTAATATTTATGAGAAAATTATTCGATTATTTTCTAGCAGTTATTTTCGTCCGGTGATTCTTTTTTAAAAGTATTCCTAATTTTAAGGTATTCTCCTTTTAATAACGCTTTTGAAAAAATTATTTTCGCTGCACCATGTACTGAGAAACAATTAAACTAATTTTTTTAAAAATTATATTAAATGTTTAGTTTTTTTTTTGTTTACTTTAAACCTAAATCGGTCTACCTTAAGAAATTGGAAGCGCTCGGCGTTGCGCTCATATTCCAGCTTCTCGTTAATCTCCAGCGCTTCCGGTCTGTAGAAAAAAGCAACACGTTGAAGGCGGACAAAGGGACAGTGGCATGAGAATGTAATCTTGCGTGCGCGACGCGTCCACGACGACGCTGTGGTCGATGACGAGATCGACGGGGTAGATGGGGTTGATTTTGGTGGCATCGCCGCCTAATTGTTCCACGGCATTACGCATCGCCGCCAAATCCACCACGACCGGCACGCCGCTGAAACACACACCCCTTTAGTCAGCAATATGTCTACATCATAGTATAAAATACAATCCTTCAAACAAAAATCTTCAAACCAAACAAAAAATTCAAAATAGTCATAATATGCAAACAATTCACATACGATTTTAATAGGCAGCAGTTTAAACTGCCAAACAATCGCACACCGCAAAGGAAATATATATATTATATACCATCCACAGTGCAGCCACTGCACTACGAAAGCATTCCAATTCTCTAGTTCGAATGACACAAATTCGAATCAATCAGAATCGCAAAAACAGAGCAAAATCAAATTAAACGAAGCGAGAAAAATAATTTCAAAATCACAAAAAACAATGTAATAAAACTTTTTATAAAAATAACTTAAAAACTGTTGCAATTTTGCACAATAATCCGGACAAATGCAAATTGCAAATAATTGCAAATAATTAATAAAATTTGCAAATAATAATAATAATTATAATAATAATTGCAAATAATTCCAGAAGGAACACAAATGCTGAAAATAACAACATGAAAATATTCCGAAATAATTATAATTGACAATAATCCCGAAGGGTGAGGAAATACGAGGCAAGAATGCGGCGCACTCACGTCAGATCCTGGAGGATGACGCGGGCGGCCTTGAAGGCCACCTCGACGCCGTCGGGATGCCGGTGGACGTCGTCCCACCTGAGGATGCTCTCCACGTCGCTCTTGCGCACATGGAAGCCGTCGCAGTTGCGCACCGCCGACTCCAGCAGCACGCGGATACTGTACGGCAGACGATCTGCACAGAACAACCGCCAATTTATAAATAGACTCCTATTTCAATCTAACACAAAACCTTACTAATTTACTTAATTTGTGAATTTTATTAGATTCAAATCATAAAAATTAAAAACACAAAATTTAATTACTTAGTTTGACAAATAACTAAAGTTTAATAATTTACCTAATTTCTCAGCTCTATTAGATTAAATTCACAAAAATTAAAAACACAAAATTTAATCACTTAACTTAGTTTTAATAATTTACTTAATTTCTAAACCTTATTAGATTAAATTTATAAAAATTAAAAACACAAAAATTTAACTACTTAGCTTGACAATTTAACTAAAGTTTAATAATTTACCTAATTTCTCAGCTCTATTAGATTAAATTCACAAAAATTAAAAACACAAAATTTAATCACTTAACTTAGTTTTAATAATTTACTTAATTTCTAAACCTTATTAGATTAAATTCATAAAAATTAAAAATACAAAAATTTAATTACTTAGTTTGACAATTTAACTAAATTTTAAGAATTTTAACTTAATTTCTGAACTTGATTAGATTAAATTCACAGAAAAGCCAAAAAAAATGCCAAATTAAAAAAGCCAAAATTTAATTACTTAGTTTGAGAATTTGAATTATTTACTTTCATGCTTTTATTATTTTTTATTCTACTTACCGCTGTTATCCGTTGCAAAATTTCTTCGACACAGCCCAAGAAAGCAAATTAACAATATGCAGGGCGCGTTTTCAGTGATCTTTCCGATAAATTTAGCAGGTTAATTAAAAAAAGTGGTTTTTTGTTAATTTAACTGAATCGATTATTTATTCTTAGAACAGCTAGTGACAAAACGCCTTTGACGCTTTTTTGAAGGAGACGCGCGCCACTGTTCTACGATTTTCTATAAAAATGTCCCGTCTTTACGTTCTCCATTCTTTCCAGCATAATAATAATTTTTATAATTTAATAATAAGTAAACCAGATGTAAAATCGGCTACGATTAATTCAACCAGTCAAGCAGGACAAAATACACGAATCACAACACATTAGAAAAAGAAGAAGAAAAAATCCACACAAATCTTAGCGCTGAGCCAGTACTAGTAGCAATTCTTTACCGTACAAAACGCGATTTTCTCCATCAAAAAGTCGATGCAGATCGAAAAACTGGTGCTGCGTGCCGGCCACCTCCAGCGGGGAGATGCAGCTGATGTATGGATTTTCTGCCGGGATATGCATCCTCAATAAAACAGTGAAGCAGAGCGCGATAAATCAGGAAGAAGACGACAGCCGCACGAAAACCACGACACTGCCTTCGAAATCGGCCAAATCAGCCAGCATCAAACGCATTCAGTTACGCCTTCACACTCCACGCTCGAGTCACCAGCGTGCGTGCAAAGTCCGCGCCGGCATCGAGGGATAAGAATGTAGATAAATCACGTTAAGGCTGCGGGCGATAACGATTTTAAACGAAAAGAGAACCTGCTACTAAAATGGAAACATTCGGTTGATTTTCTGATTGTGATTTTTGATTTATTTCCGCTTCCGTACAAGCTGCAGTCAGCAGGTCGGTGCAAGCGTGCATGGTGCGGGCGCGCATACGTGCATGAGCGTTTGACGCACCATGCGGCCGTGCATCGTTCCGAGTCTCCGACCGTAAACAAAATAAAAACCTGGTTGAAAATTCGAAATTCCAACCAGACGTTTTCTACTTTTCTAAGTTTTCTTCCATACTTTTCCTGTTTGCTTTTTTTTAAATTGGAAGTAGATTTTATTTTCGAACGTGAACATTATGATCATCGTGTTGTTGTCGTTTTTATCTAAGCAGAAAGCGTTGCAGGTCGTTGATCACGGTTTATCGTGTGTGTCGTAATTCGTGTTTGAACGCGTTTTGTCAGCACGTGAAGCTCTGCCTTGAGTCTTCGTTTGCGCTGTTCTTTTGGATTAACTGGAGGAGTGGTTGATCGGGAGTGATTATGCCGCTCATCACGGCGGGTGCTGGCGGCAGTCAGAAGCGCACAGCGGACCAGCGGGACGCGGAGGCGGGGAGTAGTCGCGGGAAGCGCCAGCGGACGTTCAAGGAGAACCACACGTTGGACAGCGACGAGGAGGACGCCGATATGGACAATCTGGGGACGGCCCCCGCAGAGAAACCCCCGCCGACGGATTATGCGGTCCTCCACGATGACGATATCGAAGGTACGCGTACTGGACGAATGATCCACCGATTTGTGACGATTTTCGAACAAGCAGCATATTTCGTCGCAATTTCCAGTTTTTGTCTCTTTCTTTAGGATGCTTTTCATATCTCAGCCGATGTCAAATAAGTAATAAAAATTCGCAGAATAATTTACAGAAATATTTACTTACATATTTGTGTTTGTACGCTATTTTTCTGAATAAATAATTTATAAAAATCGTAGCAAATTCAAAGAAATTAACAGACAATAATTAATAAATACTACGATAATAATACTGATAAATACGCATCGAAAAAAAAACAAAAATGAATACAAAAAAATTAATTGTTGACTAGTAGAAATGGAAATCAGGAGATAAAAATCTGAAAATACGTGATCTAAAATTAATGAAGCGAAAATTGCAAAATTACCAAAACCAGTTTAACGCGGTCAATAAGAAATCCGATGAAATGGAAATAATTGTGTAGGACAAGAAGAAGGCAGCATGAAGGTGCAGGAAGGCATCCGCATCACGCCCTTCAACGTCCAGGAGGAATTAGAAGAGGGCGAATTCGACACGGAAGGCAACTTCCACTTCAGCAAATCCAAGGAGATCAACGACGCCTGGCTGGACAATCTGGACGCCTACACCGACGAGGACTACGAGGCGCTCATGCAGCGCAAACAGGCCGAGCTGGCCGCGCAGGAGGCCGCCGCTGGGCCCGCCCCCTCCGACACCCAGCTGTACCAGACCCTCCTGACCCACCTCCGGCCCGGGGAGAGCGTGGCCAAGGCGCTGCGCCGCCTCGGCGACGGGCTGAAGACGACGAAGCGCTATGGGAAGGCGGCGCGGAAGGAGGGCAGTGAGGCGCTGCGCGGGGAGCTGGAGGCGCTGACGGCGGCGGCCGATCAGCTGCTGGGCAAGGGGAATCTGGAGGTGTACCAGGACACGTACGAGGCGGTCAAGTTCAAGCTGGAGAAGGCCGAGAAGAAGATGGCGGGGATGCGGGTGGACGAGGAGCTGGATATGTTCGGGGAGGCGTTTGATGCCGGGAAGGTGGGCACGTCCGGGACGGGGAGTGCGCCGCTGGCTACGGCGGAAAGCGGTAAGAATCAGGAATTTTTTGTACAATTTATTTAAATAATTTCTTTAACTTTACTTTAATAATTTGGCTTTTGATTGCGATTGTGAGAAAAGTTTTCCAGCTTTTTGGTTTGTAAAAATTCAGTTTGTAAATTTTTTTTGTCTCTTTACAGTTTTATCCGTTTGAGATTTTGATCCTAGGAATTGGTTTGCAGCTCGTTTATTGTTTGAGAGTCGGTTTATTAACTTCGTTGTGCTGTGTTTTTTAGATGAAGAGGAGGACAGCGGGACGCTGTGGGAGTACAAATGGGAGAACAGCGACGCGGCACCGACGCACGGGCCGTACTCCAGCGAGCAGATGCAGGCCTGGCAGCAGCAGGGCTTCTTCAAGGACGCCGTCTTCGTCCGCAAGGCCGGCGCCGTCGACGCACCCTTCTACTCCTCCAAGCGCGTCGACTTCGAGCTGTACATGTGATGTACTCGCTTTTCTACGGCTTCCTTTATACTTCGTTCTGCCTGCTGTGCTTCTGCTGTGTAAACCTAGAATTCGGCGGCTTCATGTATGTGGGATTGTGTTTTCTTAGCAAAATCAGCGCCAGTGTCCGCAAAATACACAACGATGAATAAGACAGTTATTTTACGTGCCAGCGCCACACCGGGCGCTAGCAGCAATAACACTGTTCTCTTATGGTACCGTAGACTATAGAGTATTAAACAGTTTTGCGGCGTTCTTCAAATGAATTTTGAAATTAAAAATTGAATTTTTAACATTTTATTTGCCGAATGACTGCTATGGATAGAAACCAAGAAATTCATGGAAAAAAATTATATTTATTGGATACACTGTTATTTTTCGTTTACTAAATTAGTATTCCGGTTTTATTTGATTCTTCTCCAACAAAAATTATTTCTAGGTTAAGAGTTATAGATCTAGAATTTCAGGCCGCTGCAAATGCTTCAATCCTGGTTTATTATTAAAAATTGACCCATACTAATTTGAAATGGGGTTTTCATTTCAGATCGTCAAAACGGGTTCAAATACATTTTTTATTTTATAGTACTGTACTACAATGCTGGAAGCCGGTTACATCTCAAAATGATCTGATTTGAAGCTTGAAATATTATCACAATTTGAAATGTTCCCATTAATGGGAACATTTGAAATTGTGATTTTATTCCTAACTAATGGAGAATGCCGAGAGCATTGTCTCTCACAGTCATGTCATTTGTTGGTCACTAAAACCGGAAATAGCCGGCGTCGCAGCATCGGCTACTTGGTACGAGTGCCGAGTTGTATATCAAGTACTGTATGATATAGACATTGATTATTGATTAGCGTGGGCTACGTCACCGGCACCGCAATGCTGCATAGCGCGGATCAGCGGATGCCCGCTTCATCGCATGCGTTTGAGAGCACGTGCAGTTAAATGAACAAGAGCAAGTCAATGACACACTGAAAAACACTTCGTGGCATTTCCTCGCGGAAATAGTTCCGTCGGCTGTGGTATATCTCGAGAATACATAGTCTATATACGGCTTGTTACTGAACGCTGCACGGGAGTCTGTAACCAAATTGTGACACGCACATGATCGCAACAATTTTGGAGGGTGGTTAAGTACTATACAATGTACGACGAAACCAGAAGATCAGTTATACTAGTACTACCTAATAGCATGCATCATTTTATATTTTTAAGCGCATACAAAAAAATTTAGCACGGAAAATAACGAAGTTACAAATTTTTGAAGATATTCATTCCAGCAGCGTGCTGCTGGAATGAAAATGTGCTCATTCTGGCACCCATTACCTCCCTGAAATTAGCTCCTTAGGTGGGCGTGGATTGAACTAAATTTGGAAAATTTGATATTTTGGAAAAACCCGTTAATAGCCGCACTGTAACTGGTGCAGCCGCAAACAGGCGACGGTTTAATGCAGTTTCTGACGACTGGTTGTTTCCTTCGGACTTGCATGATAATTCCAACTCTTGCGTCTCGATCAATTATTGTATAAACCAAACCAACTTCAATAATTTTAGGAGAACAAGCTGCTTTCTGTGACAATTTTTATCGCTGTCAAGAAATTTCATTACATGTGGAAACACGCTTATAAAACATTATAAGTTCACTTTGAGTAAGTGATAAGAATGCAAAATCGATTTTGTACGTTTTACTCCATAGCCGCCGCCTGAAGTTTCTCCGGTGCTCGGGAAGCAGCAATTAGAATTTTGCCTTGACCGGTTGCAAATTAAAAGGCATATTCTATATTAGAAAATTTGCTGAATTTCTGATCCTGTATCTTTGAGCATATATATAGGGCTTTTGCGTTGAATGTAATTGCTAAGCTAATATCCTTACAAAGTCCATGCTTGGGAGATTCAGCAAAATTGAGTGAGTTGATAGCACTCAAAGCTAGCGATCAAGTCGATAGAGTCTGGAACACAACCAGCGGCCAGCGGCTTACTTAAGTAACTAAACCAACAACTTTAGATGGTTGCACAGTTTCACTGCCAGCAATGCTAAACTAGGCTCTTATAAGGTGTTAACCGTTCGAACACAAGCCGTATATACTTAGTCTTTGTGTGTATAACGTATACAGCAGACCTGGGCAGTTAATTTTAACTATTTAACTTAACGCGAGTTATTTTTGAGTTATTGAGTTATAACTTAACTCTTTAGCGTAACTTGCCCAGAAGAAAACTTAACTCTAACTCAACTCTCATAAAAATACTATATATTGTATATGGTAGCTTAACTCGCGGTGTAACTCGAAACTCGGTTTTCCTGCATAAATAACTTAACTCTTAGCGTAACTCGAAAGCTCCTGTAACTCTTAACTATTACTGTGGGCCAATTTTCTATAACTGCCCAGGTCTGGTATACAGTATCTTTATGTATGCATAGCTCACTGCACTCTGCAGGGTTTTGCCCTTCGGAAAGTACTAAACCACTCCCCTAAAATGGGATCAAAGGCGTGTAACATTTTGGTTACAAATCTCCATAGACAAACCCAAAACAAGCCGTTAACACTATTCCTATGCGAAGACTAGTCTTCCTCTTTTCATAGTGTTAAGTCTGCATCTGTGTGCAGCCAACGGAAAATGGTAAATTCTGCAATCGTATTATGTAGTATGTATTACCTACTACCTATTTCTTATAAAAATGCAAATATTGCAAAGCTTGGCCGATCACCGATGACAGCCGTCATCGAGTTCGACCTCGATAGTCAATTGTAGTAAGCACTGTACATCCGATTCCGTGGAATGATGTTGTTAGGATCGTGTGCCATGTATTTTGTTACGCTCCCTTGATTCGGCTATAACTTCAGTGTATGCGCACGACGGAAACAATTTCACTTCTTGTTTGTTGGCTGTTTTGAACTTTCGGTTCACCCTCATATTAGCATATCACGTATCATATCTTTTGCTTACGTGAACGAGTATAATATTTATAAACATACTGATAATTCACGAAGTCTCGTGAATACTCTAGTTTTAGCCGTCATTTTAGACAAATTACGGAGTCCATGTTTTTCGTGGACGTTGCACGGCTTGACTATTCAATAAAAATCATACGACCAACCCCATCACCATGTACGCGTCACCGCTGTACTTTCGCCAACTCCACACGGACGCCCGCACGGTGAACTACACCAACACGGTGCTGGTGCGGCGCAACAACCGCCACTGGTGGTTGGGCTACGTGCAGGACCTTGACGGCGACCGCTTCCTCATTGACTTCGACGCCAGCAGCCTGCGCCGCAGATGGATCCCCTCCCGTCACGTCTGGCCACACCCTCTCCTCCCGCGGGCGGTCCCTTGCCCGCGCGGCCTTTCCATCCACGTGGCAGTCCGGGAAACCCCCGAGTTACCGATGGTCTTCCGCCCCGGGACCATCACCCACGAAGTGGCGGACCTCTTCCACGGCGTCCGCCTCGAGGGCGGGGACCCGACCTCCCCCGCCCTCATCGTCGACCAGTGCCAGTTCGTCAGCACCCTCCCGCCGCGCCACAGTAAGCGGAGCTTCGCCAGCGGGAATACGACGTTCGTCTACCGCAAGCACGTGGTGAATTTCGAGCAGGCGGGGTTATTGCGGGATGTGGCGTTGTTGCCGAAATTCGCGGGGCGGACGTGCCGGATCACGCTGGGTGCGGGGGACACCGTGTGCGACGCCAGCTGCCAGTTCGCCCGGTCGTTTGCGGTGGGCTCGGGGGAATCGACATTCCACTGTACCGGACTGCATTTACCCTCGATGCCCCACGATATCCGGGCGATCTATACCTTCAATGTGGGCTGCCGGATGTTCGCGCGGGTGGACACGGGGACCGTGACCTTTGTGTGCGCCGAAGTGCACGGGAATGCCGCCGGAAGGAGTATGTTCTGGACCGAGGAGGCCCTGCGGGAGGCCTGTCAGGACTGCGTGGCAGCGCAGCAGCCACGCCTATCGCCCAGTATTAGCAGTGAGCATGGCGCAATGGACAACTTCCAATCTGGTTAGTGATTACACTCGGTACATATGTACCACTACCTAAACTTGTGTGCTTGCACCGGTTTGCACGGATACTTCGGCGTTCGCGCGCAACATGCGGTTGGGATGTTATGCCTGTCAGAAAATTCCAGAAAAGGCAAACGTATTCAGAGGTCCGTACCAAAAGTCTCATTATGGACCGATCTCTTTTACATCTTGCACGAAAGCGCACATTGGTATGAAGTTTGTTTTTACACCGAACCTGGTTTCCACAATGTTTCTGAAATTTCAAAGCGAATTCCAAAAATTATGAAGTTTTAAAACTTGAAAAAAATTGTAGAACGCTGGTTCGGGCAATCAGTTACCATGCCAGTGTATGCAAATCATTTTGGCTACAAAATATCATAAAACGACAAAAAACTTGGTTGGGAGTACGCAACACGGAAAGTTTGCGTGCATGTACACACACCTGCCTTAAGAAGGAAGATCGGATAACGAGGCTTATAACCAACGTATCAGTAAAACGCGGATGATAACCGAATTATTTGCAGACGAAGAAGAAGCCCATATCAATGAGCTTCCATATACGATTCTGGCAGACATACTTCTTCAAGGCGATATGTTTACTCAACAGCGACTAGATCGGTGAGCCGTCATTTTTTTTATTAAGGAAAATTCTATCAGAAATGGGATACATATATGTTGCTGTACACTAAAACTTTCGCTTTCGCGCACTCCGAATAACTTTTTTGTAATTACTTGACGTCATTCTAATAAAGCTAAATGATTTGTATACATTGTTTTGGAAACCGCTTACGCGCGTAACATCCGCTGGCCCAGATATGCCGCGCAACACAAGCACAAGCGAACTTTCGTGCGAACATTCGTGCACTCACAAAATTGTTTTGTAATACCACCTTATTGCATTTACAAACTGCATCTGTAGCAAATGACCAAATGATCCGATCCGGTAACTGCCTGCAATAAGGAAACATAAGGAAACATAAGAAAATATGAGACTTGTCCTTTAATTCAGAGTGTGCACTATGTGGAGACTTCTCTTGGAAGATTACGCCATGGCCAGAGAGCGCCTCCGCGTTCTCGATATCTCATGGCTACTCGCGGAAAAGCCCGTGGATGAAGAATTCAACGTCGAATGCCATTATCAAACTTACCAACTCGTGACGAAGCTGGACCGCAGCTTGACCGTATTGACACCGATCCTGGCGTTAGTGGACACGGCGGGCTGTTTCGATCCAACTAAGAAACCAGATGGGCGGGACGCAGCCGGACAGGCTCATTGTATTAGGAGGCACGAGTTTTTCGACCGAATGCAGCTTATCCGCCATTCCCTCAAAGCCCAAAATCATCGTGTCCCGCTGATCATCATGCAAAACAGCGGTGATCGTCCGGAGCTGAACGTGGTGCTGTTGGATATCGGACCCGTGGGAGAGGAGACTGACCAGTACGAGTGCCGGGCATTGCGCCAGTGGATGGGGGCGTGTCGGCAGCTGCTGCTCGTTAACTACACCGCCGCTCTTCCAACGGGTTGGCATAGGTCCCTACTGGATAAGCTGTTCTGTTACGGTGCCGGTGACCGGACATGGTTGGAGGATGGGCACCGGGCGGAGGAGGGCGAGTATGAACGCGGCGCACATCTGCCCATCAGCATTCCCTTCCTGCGTTTCCACTGCACGGAGAATGCCGCGGAACAGTGTCGGCGTTTCATCGCGTCGGTTAATGACCACTGTCCGGCCGTTAGGCAGCAGATGATCGAAAAGGTCACGGGGGTGTTGGCACGCTGGGTGCAGACGCTGGCCTATCCCAACCAGTGGACCGGGATTCGCATGTTTCTCAACCTGTAAGTAATGTCGGATTTGCACAAGCTTATCCGATTATGTCTGGCGGATAATACAGCGAAATAAATCAAACGTGTTACGCCAGGCACCGTACTACGGCGCGCCACCTCACACTGCGTAAACACGTAGCATGCGGTTGGCTGACTGGTGGTTTGGTGCGCGCCAGATCATAAGAGTGCAGTAATAGTAATTGTCTGGCGGAAGGTGGCTTAAAAACGGTCGGTACCGTAATTGACAGTTGAACTACGGGAGCGCATTTAGGCCGTCCTATAGACATACGAAGTAGTCGCGGTAGCTGTAACTTTACGACAGAATTACCGGATTAGCTTGTACGTATGGTTCTTAAAGCTATTTCGTTGATATTAACGGCCAAACAAGTGAACACGGAGAACCTTCGCTTCGCTTTGTTGCTCTGTACCTTTAATAAGGATAAGTATCATGTCATATGTACAAACTTAGTACTAGGAAACATTTATAACAGAAACACTTCCTCAATGCTATCCTGATCGGGAATTGTACCCATTACACAAATCGCTTCGCTTTGTTCGATTGATGTTGCAATGCCATGGTCTTGCTTTTAACCGCAGGTTCAGCAGTATTGGCCCAGATGGCAGTCCTCAGTCGTGGGATAATGCTGATTTGAGACAATTGAATGTGGCTATGCTCAGTCGCTTAGCCATGCACATTCTGGACGAATACTTCAAAGACTGATCAAGCAAAAAAGACTGCATGCCACCGATAAAACCAGCATGCATGCCACATATTCTTTAGGCTCCAAAAATTATCACTACTTAGTGTATCATATCTGTTGGTTTAGATTCATTTTACCTCGAGTTATGGACCGTTAGAAACCTTAGAAAAATATAATACAAGAAAGCAATGTATCGGGGTATTGTGTCTTCTGCGGTTGTTTTTTGCACCAGAACTCAGCAGAAGACAATTTACTGCCGTATAAGAATCGACGTTGTTTTAGTGTGTGCGTATTTGTGCTTAGAATTTCTTATGCCTGAGCGAACGATACTGCATTTAGTAATTTTCTACCGCTACCTTGAACTTGAATGCATGCATGTGTTTCAGTGCAAAATAACAGTAGTTTGGTGCCAGAACAATTACTGTACTAGCAGCATTTTTGCCCTTTTGCTGTTCCTTTGGTGGATAGAATAATAATATTTTAATCGATTCTGCTGTACCGCACCTCGTATTTCCACACTTAGCCTAAACCGGCATCGCAACTTCTGTGTTGACATGACTGTATGAATCAACAACCGGCACCTTCGACTAACGTGCGCATGCAGACGAGCACATGGAGTTAAACGGCCTGACATGAGCATCTCAAGTTTCCAGCTTTACCGTTTGCAGCGGCACAGTCGAACGGGTGCTAACATATGTATAACACACAACCGTACCAGCATCGTTCTTTGTGCATTGATTTCTTCAAGAAACTGTTGAGACATGTTGTTCAGGTACTAGACAATTACATAATTATGCTACAAGGTAGCGTGATAACGTCGCTTCGATTATCCCCGTCTATGATCTCACATCATGTATGCGTCGCCGTTATACTTTCGGCAATTTCACGCCAACGCCCGCGAAGTGAACTTCGGGAACACGGTGCTGGTGCGGCGCAACACCGGTCAATGGTGGTTGGGCTACGTGCAAGATATTAACGGCGATCGCTTCTTCGTTGACTTCGACTCGACAACCGACCGCCCCGAGTGGATCCCTTCCCGACTTCTCTGGCCGCACAATTTCCTCCGTCAGACGGGACCTTCCTATCGGGGCCGATCCGTCCAAGTGGCACTGCGGGACAGCCACGGAGGCCCGATGGTCTTCCGGCCGGGGAAAATCACTCGCGGACTGTGTGACAATATGTTCAATGGTGTCCGCTTAGATGACGCTAATCCTGTCTGCATCGTCGATACGTGTCAGATCGTCGCGAAACTGCCGACCCCCAAGAAACCCAGTTTTGCCGAAAGCGGGACGAAATTCGTCTACCGAAAGCACGTCGTCGCCTTCAAGCAAGCGGAGTCATTGCGAGATGTGGCGTTGTTGCCGAAATTTGTGGGACGGGCGTGTCGCATCACGTTGGGTCCGGATGACACCGAGTGTGACGCGGACTGCCGTTTCACCCGGTCTTATGCTATTGGATCGGGGGACTCGAATTTCCACTGTCCCATGCACTTATCCCCGGCGTCCGCCACAATGTACTGGTTTGATGTGGGCTGTCGGGTGTTTGCGCGGGTGGACACGGGGACGGTGACGTTCGTCTGCGCCGAAATGCACCGCGACGCCGCTGTCGGACACAGTATGTTCTGGACTGAAGACGGTCTGAAGGAAGCGTGTGCGGAATGTCTCACTGCGCAGCAATCGAAGCTAGCGTCTGCTCCTAGGATTCTTAGTGAAGACGCCTTCCAATTGGGTTAGTGTAGGGTTGTGGATACCAAATGGTAACTGGTATTGTGGTACGGCTGATATACCACTTACCAGTGGTATATCCGGCAGGTGTGAAATGGTACGATTTATTACCAGATATACCATAAAAGGTTTGATATACCAAAAGGCGCATGGTAATATGTTACATAATTTATGGCAGAGCGAAATAAACGGAAAAGGTCACGGCGGTGTAAGACCGGCCGGTTTCGTAGTCTAATATGTGGTGTTTTACGGAAATGTGCATAAACGGCAACGAACGAGACGGCAATTGCGAGTCAGGAATTGTTATTGAAGGAAATCGGACTGTAATCCGAGGCAACTGTCGGAAAAGCACAAAAACATCGGTATAAAAGAGCAACAAGTGGAACGGTATATCAGATAACAGCATGTACGGGCATATCGCCCTTAACAATCAGAAAGCGCATTTCATGAGAATCGGCACATACTAAGTGATTCAGGCATTGGGCAAGGGAAAAGTAGCGAGCCGAGCATCAGGACAAAGTACATGTAACACTTCTCTCCATGAAAAGGACTGTCCGCAGTCCATAACTAATATAAGAAAAGCAGAAAAGCCAGTCAACCAGCAGTACGATAAAGCAGCTGTTTTTGCATTTTAAAATTTTCGAAACACATTCATGAAATAGCAAATAATAATATGCAAGTAATAGTTATACTTTATACGGTTAGAAGAAATACAGGTAATATAGCGGAATAATCTGAATTTTATTTTTGGAACGCTTTTAGGGAAAACCGGATTGAACCGAATTTTCATTTTATAAATGTTTTGGATTTTAAATTCTCTGACTCATTTTATAATAAATGCGGTTCAGTCGATGATATCTTTCGGTCGCTCTTGAACTTGAACTTTGATCAGCGGTTAACCGTACACCAAAACCATAACACCACACCGTATTTACGCAAATAAACAGACATTTCATTTCCTGAGGCAAAATCGACACAGTACAATTTATAAATATTAAGTCGCTGGTTTCAAACATTATTCATTCGCTTGTCTAAACACACGCCTCTTTTTCCCTTTTTTTTTTAATGCAGCTTTAGTGCATTCAGTCTACGATGCTAAACTCGTGTCTGGCTGGTAAAAATTTTTTTTCGTCTGCTGCAGTCGAGTCGCGCGTGTGCGATCTCGTACGAAATTTTGTTCTGTTTTTTTTTTCTCAGCAATTTTCAATGCTGTTGCTGACGGGTTTTGGTCAGAGGCATTACAGCAAAAATTTTTTTGCTGTTGCGGACAAGTTTTCTGCAGAGATTTCACAGCAGATGGTATTGCTGTTTCAGACAGGTTTTTGTACATCGATTCTAGACTGCGTTAGTTGAGGTAATTTCGAAGCATGTGAGCGATTCTTCATTCGCGTAGACACTGTGCAAACAAACTGCTGCACCAGCTTATCCGTTAACTATATTTTTTTAAAATTCCAATATCTAATTTTGCCCCAGAAAATTTCGATCTCAGTCTATTCACACAAACACCATGCGCTACCCATGGTTGTAATGCAGGTCGTTTAATCTGATCACGCACTGTTCGTTGTGAGGCGGTAATGACTGATAAAAATCGGCGACCTAAAGCTTCAGGTAGCGAACCGTATATAACTGGGTTCGCTGGAGCGAACCTTAAAATTACTGGGTTCCCGGGGATAGAAACGGGTTTATCTCCAAGAACTTTTTTTTTGAAATTCAAACGAAAATTTGACAATTCTCGAAGGAAATTTCCTGACCAATATTTTTGATAAATTTTCCACAAAAAATAAAGCGATGCTTTTACTGAAAAATTTAAGTAAAACCTGACCATGTTAAATTTGACGAAATACAAGCGAGAACCTGACTTGATTTGAATTGTCTTTGCAAAATATAAAAAACAAAATCGCATAAAATACAATATTTTTGAAATTTTGCAATAGAAATTTTTAAGAAATTTTAATTAATTTGCTGGCTGACTTTACATGAGCGGGAAAATAAGGCTAATGCTAAGCGGTTATACGCTGCTCACGGTCGGTGGAGTTCCGTACCGAACCGGTGCCAACTTCCGGCGCTGTTCCATCAACGCATTCCCAAAGGTCACCGTCGGTTCCATCCGTGTTCCGACCGTGTGCTCCGGGGAGGAGTCCTGGCGCCGATTGTTGATCCATCCGAGTCCTCAGCGGTCGTACGCGCATTGGCGTAGACGGGATCCTGTCGGACGGTGTCCGAAGGACGGTAACGCGGCGTCATGGGAATATCCACCGTCCGTGTGGGTACGTCCCGGGACGGGTTCCGATTGGGGGTTTCCGTAGCGGTCGCAGTGACCGCAATCGTTCCCTGCCGTCGAGGCTGAAAATCATACTGCCGGCGCGAACGCGGGCGGCAACAATCTAGAAGACAGCTGAGAAACGCGATTACCGTTCGGTAATACCGAACGCAAAATACCACAGCAATGAAAACGGTTATCGAAGTAAGCGAAATATTTAGAGACTATGCCATGTCATGGACTTCATTGTACTTTGAACATATTTTGGAGTAATTATGGTACTCAAATTTGAAATACCGGTCTCCAACATCAGGCCGGATAACTCGGCTGTTAAGTCGAGAAACCGAAAAGGATCCATTGACAAGGAGTCACCGAGAGTGTCTTCCAAGTTATCCGTCAGGAATTTGGCAGTATAATGCCAATGTGCAAGCGTTTTATGGAACGTGGGGTTTACAGGAGTCCAGGCACCGTCTTGGTAGCGGTAGAGAGTTCCGTGTATAATTACCACGGAGTGCCGATGGAGGCAAACTGAGTGCCTTTTGAGGGTTTCGCCGTCGAGGGCGATCGTGTATCCGCGATCGTCGTTTTCGGCCGCGATGTACGGATCTGGTCCGCATGTAGAGTACTTGACTCCGATGGTAACATTGACTTCCGTGCACTGGTAGATAGTCGCCGAATCTCCAAGAACTACGGCAGCCTGACATTTGGGAAAACCTAGTTTGCCTCCGACGACCACAGGGGAAAACTGGCTAAGTAGAATCAGACTTTCCATTTCCGTTCTGTCGGCCTGGCATTGCAACTTGTGCAGATGATTGAGGATTTTCATTTCTTGAAACGCGAAGAAATCCTCAACGTACTGAAGGTGGGACGATAGTAAGGTGGTAATTTCTGCCGAAAGATTTGCATTCAACCGACTTTGGATGCCAACAGGGGGGACGAGCCGGAGGGCGGATTCTCTCAGTGACGTTAGGACGATACCAAGCGTGGTAAAATTTTATGCGAAGTGTCGGATGGGAGCGGACATAATGAACAGATGCGCCTTCATCGCATGTTCGTTCCATTTTTTCTTCAACCGTAAAGCTGAGTTGATGTAAATGGTCCCGAATGTGGATCTCTCCTGATTTTAATTGGAACAACTGCCCCTCGCTGTCAAGAACCGTGTTAGCACGACACTTCGTATGGTTTTTGTCGGTAGTCCACACGTAAGTTACGTGTGGATGGACACTGGACTCGGAGAGAATAGACGAAGAAATTTCGCCAGTGGCGGACAGTACTGGACAGTCGTCACACGTGGTTTCGAGGGTCACGTTCTCTAAGAGACAGGTAATGACGTCAGCCCGGCGGTATTGGTTCCACCGGCGGTCAACCACAGGTATTGCGTCGTATACCCAAGTGCGTCCACTT